GACGACGAGGGGAGGGGGGGGGGGGGGGGGGGTGTGGAAGAGCGACTAATCAACGGAACGGATGTGAGCCCCCTCTCCCGTCATATATCAGATCAAGCCCTAGACTAAGTAGGGTACTACCAGGGCCAACAAACGCGCAGGTCAGGTGCCACGGCAGAATGACACAAGATCAAGCGAGGTGCGGGAAAACCGTCAATACCATTCCTGAAAAGGGAACGTATGCACAGCAGAAGACGGGAAGAAAGGAAAGAGTGAAAAAAAAGAGACGATCGTAACCAAGGCAAGCAAAAAAAGCACAAGAACGCCCCGCTCGGCATGTCAGTGCTAGGTGATATATCTCATCTCACTCGGAGAAGCCGGGATATGTAGGTGGTTAACTAGGTAGAGAAATCAAAAAGCCGCCCAAGCCAGGGGCCGAGGAGATGCAGATGTCCTGCCCGCCTCGACCTCCCGCCAGTGTGCCAATTTTGTTGCTGGACACCACAGTAAAATGCTCGCTCACACACTGCCCTCCCATTGCTGTTTGATAACCAAAACAAGCCGTCATCCCAGGCGTATGGATAGTATGAGGTTATGAGAGTGCAAAAGGAGAAAAAAAAGGAAAAAGAAAAACGGACGACATTGAGAATAAATCGCAATCGGCCACCCCCTCGCAAATGATATGCTCGCTATCAATTTGAATGACCCGGCCCCCATATTATACCGCTCGACATTCGGTCCTCTTGCTCCTACGCCTCGCCCTCCCGTTTTGTCCCGCCCTTTGCGCAGAATATGTAGCCAACCTAGGAAAGAAAAGCGAAGCAAAGCTGAAAGAAACAAATGAGAGCTGCGAATGCGCGATTAGCAGATGGCTTGTGCGTTCAATAAGCATCAGATGAAGAAGACAAGGTTCCAACGCCGAGCTGTATGAAGGAGCGTCTGAAAAAGACTTCGTTGGTAGCGTCGCGACCGGTTGGAAACTCAAATAAAGCCTGCGCCCGCATGAACTGCGCGACTAGGTGAGTTAGCATACCAAAGATGATATGAAATCGAGACGTGATACCCGAGATATAGTCCTTGGCTTGGAAGGGATAGGGAAGGACATCGTAATAGAAAATGATATATGTGGAGAAGCAGACTTACAACCAACTTTAGGTGATAGGGTTCCAATTAGGTAGCCTGGTTGAACTGCAGGTTTTGCTCAAGCGCCGTGGGCAAATGCAAAGGGGACCATGTAAAGCAGCAAAGTAAGGCCCAACGATTTTCCAACTCCGCGCAGGTCATGATAAACAGTAGACAAAAAAAGCAAAAGAGAAACCATCATCAACGCCGGTAGCCGGCTCCTAGAATAATTTGGTCGAGTCGAATCATGTCTGTTGCCGAGGCCGGGAGAGGAAACAAGGCTGCTGAGTGAAGCAAAAAAAATATACCAGAGGCGTCCAAATGTCCATTGTCCAACTCTATGATGGGTATAAAAACCTCTTGCGATCAAGAAATGTATGCCCGGCCCGAGGTTGCAAAATGCAATACTGTAGATATTGTCGCGCTTTGTAGCAGGTTTCTCAAGTTCGTGGTCCGCCGGGCATGTTTCTAGCATCGTGTGGCGACAAATAGTTCGGGTAGCTCGGCGCGCTGCTCACACCGCCCGGCGGCAAATTAATAGGGGCGGTACGGTACATGTTTTGGCCTTGCGGATCGTATGTGTCCCGAGGTATACCGTCCACCACGTAGGCAGGGCCGAGGTACGACTGTTGCGGGTGTGGCGGGACTTGGGCTACCTGCACAGGGCCGCTCTGGGCCACGTAGGGCGCTTGAATTTGGGGCGGGGGAGGTGGGGGCGGGGCTTGCTGCTGTTGTTGCTGTTGTTGATGCTGATGCTGATGCTGATGCGGGTGCTGGTCATGCTGCTGGTGCTGGTCATGATGCTGGTGCTGGTGCTGATGCTGATGTGGGTGCTGGCGTTGGTGTGAGTGTGGGTGTTGGGGCGCCTGTTGCTGCGGCTGGTGTGGTTGGTGCGGTGGTGGTTGCTGTTGCTGTTGCTGTTGTTGCTGCTGCTGTGACTGCTGCTGCTGCTGCTGTGGCGGCAGAGGCGGAGGTGGCGCCGGCTGCGGTGCAAAGGCATACATGACTGTGCTGCCAGGGCCCGAGTGGGGAGTCGGCGGGCCTGGGACGTGCTGCGATTGGCTCCATTGCTGATACATTGTTGCACCTGATCCAGCACTAGTAGCATTGGGGTAATCCGTCGGCGATGGGAAGAGTGAGGATGGCCTGCGTGAGTGCCCTGGGGCTGTCGAATACATGTCCTGCAGGGACTGGCTCGAGGGTGCGTGGTGTATCGGCGTCGCATCGACATACTGGTGCACTTCAGGCGCGGGGCCGAGGTCGGCCGAGGTCAATATGGAACCGGGCGGGAGCGGCTGCTGCTGTGGATGCTGTTGTTGATGCTGGTGCGGCAGCGGTGGCTGCTGGCCTCGGACAGGAATCTCGTTCATGAATGGGTTTCCGCCGCCGCCGGTGTGCTGTGGCTGCATTGGAGGACCGACCGTGGGACTGTGATCACTTCCTGCCGGTGTTTGCGGAAGTCCGTGTGCCGTCGCCAACAGCCCATGTGTCACCACCGCAGCCCTCTGTGGTGATGCATGCGATGAGGGCCCCGTTGTCTGGCCCGGCTGCCGCTGAGCCTCCTCCTGTTTCACGGATGCTGTTGTGTGCTCGTCGCCGCTTTGCCAATCGTCAGGGAACTTGTCGTCCGCCATAACCCAGACTGTGTAGTTGTCATCTGGAAGAATCGTGCGTAGCGCAACTGTTAGTATGCAGTAGAAGCTGACGGCTACGCTGGCATGCGGACCGCTAGCGCAAGGGGGTGCGAGTAGAAGAAAAATGGAGAAGCAAAAGTCCGTACCAACTTCGCCATTCTTGAATCTCTCCTGGGCCTTTGCAACCTTGAAGATCTCCTTGAGATAAGGCTTCTTCTTGGCATTGCCCAAGTTGTCCTTGTCCATAAAGAAGGCAGACAGTGCCTCGTTTGTTGCTTCCTCAAGCTTAGTAACGTTGAGCTGCAGCTTCTGAATGTCCGGGTGCTGCTTGTGTATAGGCTCCACGATGATGCTCAGGATGTGGTTCAACAGATGGACTCGCTCTGTTCAGAGAGGTCGGTTAGCACCTGATTTGGACGGATGCGTGCGTGCGTGCGTGCGTGCGTGCATGCGGTAACAGAGGTGGCCGGAGCATACCTTTCTTGTACAGATGGTCGGGCTCTTTATGCCGCACCTTCTCGTCCTTGTTCGGCCCCCACGGCTTTGGCCACCAGCCTGGCGCCTTCTCGTCGCTGCCCGTGTACGGATGCGTCGACTGCTTCTTGGGCTCCACCAGCTTGATCCAGGCCTTGGCCACAAGCTTGCAGGCCGTCTGCTGCAGGTTCTTGAACCGCGTGTCACAAAAGTCCCAGATCTGCTGCGAGTCGCCGGCCAGGATCTCCTTGTGCGGCTTTGGGGCTGGCGCTTCCTCCTCGGCGTCCCCTTCTCGATGCAGATGATTCCTAGCCCGTTTACGAGCCTTCATCTGACCGCTGCCGATGCTGTCATCCTCACCGTATCCGTGGGACAACGACCCAAACGGGTTCGCCGAATGGGCGCCAGGGCGCCGGGCAAAGGGGCGTGACCTAGAAGTGTACTCTCCTGGTCTGTACGGGTCGTCAAAGCCCTGGTCGACATCGTCGAGAGCCAGACCTATAATGACTGGTAAGCACGTACGTCGGGACCGTCGGGAGGAAGACGTGGCTTCGGCTCCGGAGAGGGGCACGGGTGGTTGCTCCTACCTGCCGGGTAATGGCGCTTCGCAGCCATCTCAAATTGTCGGGGGTCGAAAAAAGATGCCATCTCGGTCTTGTGCCACTCATCTGGCCCGCCGTAGTAGACAAGTCTGCCATTATCTAGGATGGCAGCGACGAAGTACTTCTCGGCAGGGATTTTGCACCGCTCTCGGAGCGCAGCGCCTATCGTCGTGACCGGAGCATCGTGGTATCGCGAGTCGTCGCCGCAGCCTGGCTCCATGCCGGAGAACCGGGTGTCGGCCGCCCACTGGGGAGCTCGGTTGTATTCCCTCTGGTACATATCGCGGACCATTGTGGCTACCGAACGCTCCGAGGGAGGGAGGTCTGGAGCCAAACCCGCGGTCTGGCCGGACAGCTCTAGGTGATGTGGCGTGCGATGCTGTCTTCAGGGCAGCATGCGGCGCTCCAGGCGGAGCTGATCTACCAAGAATAAACGCCTAGGACCACCTGCCTGCCGACAGAACCCCTGCTTCGTTGACCTGCTGGCTGTGACTGCTCGCCGATCAGCCACAGATTTTGGTGCTGTAACACAGTAAATCGGGTCAGTGAACCGATCCAATGGGATGGCAGTCGACAATGCGTGGGGGCTGGTAATTCAGCACATCCGTATCGAGCCCTCGGGAAAGGAGATGTTGCGATCTATGTGCTGGAAATGATGGAGAAAGGCCATATCGGGTCCTCTCCCGAGCAACGATGGAAAGGATGAATAAATGGATGGATGCGGGGACCACAGGAGGAGGCGGCGATCGAGGCAGTTGCCGATGGGAAAGTGGAATCCGGGCGGATGGTGTTCGAGGAGCAAGCACACACTTACCAAGGATTGGAGGGAGGGGCGTCCGCACAGATGGGATGCAGGTTGGACCAGCAAGAAATTTCGCAGGCCTGTCGTACTCCCAATCCGATGTGCGAGGGTATCTATAGACGCTGCAGTGCTCGATGCGCGTATAAATCGCCTCCTTCTCAAACAAAGCTACGGTACGAGAGATGCGTGCCGTCAAATGGTTCGTGTTTCGCCTGGAGCTGGAAGGCGAATAGCGACAAGGAACAGCCCCCTAGGTACAAAAGAAAGAGGGTGAGGGAAGAGCACGCCGAGTCGATTGCAGGTTCGAGCGACCGGGCCACTCGTCGAATGAGCGGTATCCTGTGCGTCCGAGGAATAGGGGTGGCCCGGGCCAAAAATTCTGCTGCCCTCCACTCGTGGATGGGACTGTTGATTTGCTGGTGGATATAGCTGCTGTGCTGCTACTGATGCCCTCGGGAGGCTACGGCGGCAAAGACGCAGGACGCAGGCCCAGGCGCAGCAAAGCGGAGGGCGTGTGATGCAGGGAAGGGGGAAAAGAGAAGAAATAAAAAGAAAAGAAAAGCGACCAAACAAAGTACTTCCTTGGTGCTAGCAAATCCGAGACCGTCCCCCCACGGCTCTGCAGAGCAGATGTGGGCTTGCAAGAGATTCGGTATCACCTGGCCTAGAAGGCGTTCCCTAAACAGAGAAAGTAAATAAAACCCGTCTCGCCAGAGAGATTCAGTGTTCGATACGCTGGCGCCGTGCGCCGCAAGTGAAGACGTGAGGAAGAAGAAATCTGACGGCCACGGGGAGGAGGCGCTGTGGTTTGGTAGCTGAATGGATCCGACGGGGAACGTGAAGTGAGTCTTTAACAAGATGTGCGTGTTCTCGTTCTTGCCGCTCTTGCGGTGTGAGACATCGGGGTCGGTGAAAGTCGAAGGTCCCAAGCGGTCGAAGGCCCTAAGCGGTCGGTTGTCCAAGGATCTTGCAGGCTCGTCCGGGGGGTGTCGTCGGTCTAGATTCTCTCTCCTCCGTCTATGGCAGGAGATAGGTTTGTTGGTTTTGGAGGCTATGACGGCAAGTGTGTGTGATTACGATGCCCGGGGAGGGCATGGGATTTACCAGAGGGAAAGCTGAGATGGTAGCCGAGAATTTACAGTCGTCTCCTCTTTTTTTTTTGGCCTGGGAAACCCAGCAGGTGGTCGACGAGGGGGTTCGGTGCCCTGATCTGAGAGGAAGCACTAGTGACGGGCCTAACAGCACGGACTTCCAGACAAGTTGGCGGTAGGCGGAGCAAGCTACAGATCCTCTTCCCAACGGGTCCCTTGATACGGTGGGTGTGGGCGAGGCGCGTCCAGCCGGGGGAGCAGGCCAGTGTTGCAGACTGGTTGGCGAAGACGGGTAATTCCCGTGGGTCCCGGATCCGTTTGGCCTCTCTTGTCCTCGAGACTAGAAACGGCAGGGGAGAGATGGATATACGGCTAGATGACTCGAGAGAAGGTGTAGGGTGGCAGCAGATAGTCGACAGCCCACCGAGGGAGCCCGGAGCTGGGAGTTGGCTGCGTCGCTCGATCGAGAAGGTATCCGTTGTCGTCAGGCTGGCTTGTTGGTGTAGTTGCGGCGCAAGCAGGAGTGGGTAGACGTCAAAGACGGATACGAGAGATTGGCGGGATGACAAACTGTGGGGGAGAGAGGCACGCAATGGGAGAGAGGGTGGTCCCGTCAGAGGCTGGTCCTTCAGATGTACCGAGAGGCGGGGCCCGGTGTGGTGCTCCGAGACGACGTCGAGAGGGTGAGGCAGCAAGGCGTGCGGGCGTGCGGGCGTGAGGGCGTGCGGGCGTGCGATGAGGGAGATCCAAGGATGGTGCAGCCAGGTTTGCTAGGTAGGACAAATAAGGAGCAGGCCCTTGCCCGCAATAGCGCCGCCGAGCCCGGAGGAGGAAAGTCAAAAATCCGCCTAGTAGCGTCAACGTAACGGGAGCGCAAGCTGACCCAGACAAACAGGCCGGTTGGTGGGGAAGCAGGCGAGGCAGGTGAGGCAGGTAGCTGTCCGGGAACCGTAGGGCGTGGGTGCCCCAGGCGTAGGCTAGGTTGGAATAGGCACAGTCGTTGGCAACATGCGCAGGGTTTGGACGAGGGGATAGCGATAGGGCAAAGCAAGCTGCAGGAGAGGAACGAAGCTCGAGGCAGCAAGCAGAGGGGGACAGTGCCAGGCAAGCAGGGAGGTAGGTAGCGCAAAGGTAATGAGGCCGGGAGCTAACACCAGGGAACGCGTGCTATATGCCCACAAGGCCCCAGAAAAAAATACCTTCAAGGTACATACATAGGTACATGCACCTAGTAGACTGGGGATGCGGGAGCGAGCAGTGCGGACGGATCCCGTTCGGAACACCCCTTCTCAGCCAGGAAGAAACAAGCAAGTAGCTCCAAATAGTCCAAAGTCGAGTGGACCAGGGCACCGCCCATTTGGGGATGTTGCCGGCGGGCAGGATCACTTGCTGCTAGGTACTAGGTGCTGCTTGGTGTTTGTGTGCGCGTGCGTGCGTGCGTGGTGCGTGCGTGTTTGCGGGTATCCCTGGCCGACAATACGTAGTCGGCACCGGCTCACAAATAGGATACGACTGGGCACCTGGGCCGTGCTAGTGGCCGGGGCTGCTGCGCAGGCGAGGCCGGCAGCACCCACCCACCCACGCCTGCAGATCATCAGGTGTGTGTATAGCAAACCAAGTCCAGGTGGTGGAGCAGGGTGTTGATGCGTGGGAGAGCAGACAGGTCAGGTTTGTCTCGCGTACCCACATCCGATCGTCCAAGGGCCGTATCTTGGGTGGCGGATGATAAGAGGCCAAAGTTTAAACCAAGATACGGAGCCCAGGGCCAGTCAAGACAGGACGGGAATTCCCAGTCCGGAACCAGGCGGTCGCTTGGTCGGCCACGAGCGGCAGCCTCTGGGTCTGGGTACCTGTTCGCCTGTGCTAGTGGTGGTAGCTGAAGCCGCAACGGGCAATCCGCAAAGCGCGCAGGAAGTATGGGCGTGGGAAGACGTGTTATTTGGAGAAGCGGAGCAGGTATGGAGCGAAGGTGTTGTACAAGGACCGGGGGAGTGATAGCTTCTACGGCTACTGGGTTTTCTCGGCTGCGGGCGCCGCGGCGAGATGTGACAGTCCTGGCGCTGTGCTTCCCTGCCTGGTGCACGTTATTCCGTCAAGCCAACCCGCAATTCCGTAGCTCGGCTACAATAGCAACAGGAGCAGAGACGTCCGTGCCAAAGCCGTAGAGGGGGAGGGAGATGGGCGAAGAGAGAATGGGCGTGTTGTGCCGGGACCGGGAAAGCGCAGCACGCACCACCATTGCTATCATTGGGGGGATGAGGGGATGAGGGGATGAGGGGATGACCCGAAGTCGCACCACAGCGCAGGAGTGGAGGAGGCCCGACCTGTCTGCCTACCATCAGCGCTCTCACTCTCTCCAAGGCTCGTCCGCATCGGCAACAGCACGCATACTGTGGTGCTAGGCTGTAGTAAGCAAGCAAGCAACATACCGCAACCCCTCAGCAGCCCCTGGGGCAGGCCACACCTCGCTATCCCCTGATTTGATTCGTGGGTCGGCGGGGATTCGCTTCCTTTTTCTCTTCTTTCTTTTCCTTTTTCCTTTTTTTTTTTTTGGCAGCCAGTGGAGCCGGGCAATGGGCAGGGACCAGGGCGGAGGTGAGGTGGATGGGGTGCGGGCGCCAGATGTACTCTCGACCTCAAAGGTAAAGACGACCCCTGGTCCGCCCGCCTGGCTATAATGATGCGGGCGGGTGCGTCTTGCTGGGTGACGCTGTTCCTGTTTCTCTCTGGTGCAGCGAGCGACAGGGGTGCGGTGCAGCCAGCCACCTCGGGAAGGAGGGGACGGATGTCGAGAGGAAACGAGAGGCGCGGCAAGCCAATCGACGAGAGAGCGTTGAGGACGACGTGCAGGCAAATTGAGCAGCTGGCATGGGGACCCGGCATGGTTCTGCGATGCGCGCCATGCGGGCACCCGTCCACTCACGGGTTTTCTTTTTTCTTGTCGCTCTCTGAACGTGATTGTCCGCCTCGCTGGGTGTGCTGTGTGCAGCAGGGCCACGATAGACAGGCAGGCGGGCATCCCAGTCCGGAAAGGGCACCATGCCACGGCATCGTTTCCTGGCGTCATGCTCACCTGCCGCCCCGTGGAGAAACCCAACGGCGAGTGCTTGCTGGTGTGGTGCATCTGGGTGGGTTGGCCCCAATGGTGCAATGGCCCCAAAGCGTGGCGGAAGACGGCCAAAGTGAGTGGACGGCGAGCGGTGCAACGACGATGCAACACCAAGCCGGCCGGGCCACCACCCAGGGCCAAGCGACAGCACAAGCGCGGCGGTCAAACACAGCTGTGGTGCCAAACAGTTAATTCGGGATCATCGAGGGCCCCTCCTCGGGGACTGTTGTAGGCTGCTGCAACCATGGACCAACGACGGCGGCCAGCCATCAACGGCCATCAATGATTGATTGAACGAAATGGCTGCAAGACCATCTGCGGGCCCAGTCAACCTGCGGCCGGACGCGACTTCCCCACCAGGGGAGACGGGCAGGTGTGGGCGCATTGAAGAGGGAAGCCACGATGATTGCGGCGTATCAGTGGCCGGGCCGGTGGAACCCTGCGCCCGCCCTGTCTCTCAGCAGGGAGCACGCTTGCACGATCTGGACCAGGGTTGGAGGTGAGCGAGAACTCCGCAACAGGGGGTTGGCTGGCGGGTTCAGACGGCCGCAAAACTCTGAGGACAAGTCACATCCAGCATCCAGCCCTCCCCAGGCAGCTAGGGCAGTTGGCAGGAGGTGGTCGGACAGTCGATCCGGGCTCCATCAAGCAGAGAATGCGCCTGCCTGGCTGCAGGTCAAACTGTTTGTCGTCGCGCCCACTCGTCCCGCTTCGCTTGCTTCGCTTGCTTCGCTTTCGTCTGGATGGCTCCGGCCGCTTTACCCTACCTGGCTAATCTCCGGTCGAGGCGCTGGCTGTGAATGGTGGGCTCCGTTTTGGGCGTGCATGCCTCTTTTTCTCCTTCTCTCCTCTCGCCGGCTTTCTCGCTCCCTTTGCCCGGTGGCCTCCTGCGTTGCGGTGAAGAATATGTGGGCGTCTGGGGTATGCGCTCGGACAGCCTCAGGGGTAAAGCGACAAAAGTGACGACAGAAAAGGACAGGATTGACATGCACTGATCCAGGCGAGGGGTTCGAGCAAACCCAACCCACAACAGCGCAATCCCAGACGGAACCTAGCACCGTCGTGGGACTCCCTTCCACCATCGTGTACATACTCCAGTGTGGAGGCCAAGATGGATCCTGATGGTGTTGCCCAAAATGGGTCCCAACGGGGGTGCCCACCAGGGAGGTACCTCGGCAGGTACCTAGGTAGGTACCAGGTACCTTCCCCAGGTACATCCACGTATGCAAATACCATCGTGGCAGCGAGAGGTGACGAGTAACGAAGGAGGTTAATGGCGCATCTTCCTGCGGCAGCCCCCCACCCAATTTTTTTTATTTTTCTTTTTCTTTCATGTCTTGGAGCAGATCGTAGCCAGAGGTAGTCGCGCAGTAGCTTTTTTGGGGCTTAACATCGGCGAAGTGCCGCCAGCTGAGTGGGCCAAGGCAAGCCGAACCAGCATGGCCAAAGGTGTGGCTAAATCCCGAGGCTCGCGCCAAGCGCCAAAACGGGTCGACAATTCGGTGAATCTGTCGCGAACTCGGCATGGGCCTTGTCGAGCCGTCGTAACCAGCTGGCTGGTTGGTTGGCACCCTGCCCGCGAATTCCATACGGTGACCTGGCTGAGATCTCGATTTGGACACTAGCCACAAGAGCTCCTGTGGGATGGGCGGGCGCGCAATCCCTAATTCGACGCCATCAGCCTACAATGTTCATTCTGGCATGTGGTTCAGGCGGACCAGGGTCGGCCCACCCACCCACCGCGACCTGAAATCACCCCACCGCGGGAAGGTGACCGGCGAGCTTTCATCAGTCTGGCGACGGGCGTAAATCTATTTCGGACTTCTGACTTGGCACAGTCAGCGACTCGATCTGCCGGCACCCGTTTTTACTCGGGTCGAACGTTGGTTCGTTGGTCGTTGATGGGCTACACAGTAGATTTTGGAAATTGGAGCTAGCTAGATGGCCGTGTTGTTGATCTCATTGCTCCAGGCAGCCTCCAGTGGGCGAGTGGTCGACACACACACCCGTGTCCGTCCCATCTTTCTCGTGCCTGTGTTTTGAGGTCAAAGCTCCTCCTCGGTCCGCTTTCGGCACAGGTGGCGTCACCACGTTTGGCGACCCAAATTTTGTTTAGGTCAGGGACGGGTGGGGGGGTTTGCTTAATCCATTGCCCAACGGTCTTGTCCGGGCTTCTCCGCTCAAATCGCTCTGGCAATCCGCACACAACGTCACGTCACGGTGGGCGTTTGCGCTCTCCATCCCTCCATCCTCCACGAAGCCTCGGCAGGCCCCCTTCGTTTGGAAGGGAGGGGTGGCCACACGACACGGCTGCTCCTCCCACATCCGCCAAGTTAGCTGCCTGTCAGAAATTGCCGAGACGCCAAATTTGGATGCAACCGCCGGAATTTCCCATGTGGCCCTGCAGCGGTTGCGACAGTGGCACGCTGCGCAAGAAGCGAACCAGACCGGGAGCCGAGCCTCTGAGCGAGAGCAGTCACTCAGTCATTGGTGATTCCCCTGTGCCACCAATCGCTTCCGGCCACTAGCAGCACATGATCTTTAGGGTTACGTGTGGCTGGCCACCACCATCGATTTTGGGGTTACACGAGCGAGATGAGGCGATGAAGAAGGAAGAAAAAAAAAGAGAGAAAAAAAGAGAAAAAAAGGGAAAAATGAACAGGGCACACAGTATGGGCGCAGGATGCTCATCCCGCGCCAGGAGTGGGGGAGGCAGGCCAAGGTGAAGCACGTCAAAGCTGTTCACTGCAACGCCCAATTTCCTGCGCGCTTCCCACGCTGCTCTGGATTGGCATGCCCCTTGGCTTCAACAACCCCTCCAAGAGACAAAAGCCCCGATCCCATATGCCGTGTTCTCATGTGACCTGCATCTCATCTCTTCTTTTATGCGCGTCCTTCTTTTCACGACCATTTCGACCCTGCTCGTCCAAAACTCTCATCGATTCCTCTCGCGACCCACCGGCCTCTTATTTTATAAAAGCGGGCAAACACTACGACTTAGCGCCCGCTCGCCTACACGCTCCTTTCTTTTTTCTTTTCTTTTTTTTTTAACTCCACTCCTGCTCTTTGCTCCGTTCTTTCAATTAATGCCATACCTGCGAATAGTCGGATTAGGTAGATCCTTCGGGTCGTCGCGAGCTGACCCTCTTCTTTTCAAGTGTCGACCACGTCGGATTTGGCTCACTTCAAATGAGACGGTGCCCGAGGTAGACAATTTATTTTCTCCTCATCATTACTGCTGTCCTTGCCCGCCTCCCTGCAGCCATGGAGCTGGATTCGGGGGCTTTTGCTTTACATAGTGCCAACATAAAGCGAGAGACCAACCACCCCCACACGCGTACTGGCCCATCCATCCCCCGCCTGCGGGTGATGGCGCAGCCGGTGAGCGCTGCTCCCGGGTTTGAGGATGCGTTCGATCTCTCTCCTCGCCAATATGACCAAAGGTCGCACACTTCGTTCCCTGTTCCCTCTTTCATCATGTCACCTGCGGGGAAAAAAGACCAAATCGACAGAGTGACCGATCCAAAAGCTCCTCGCGCCCCCAGCTAGGGGCCACTAAGGAGCACGGCCTAGAGCCCATCTTGTCAAATCGTCGTGTTGTCATCGTTATTCAATACCTGCTTGTGTTTAGCTGCCTGGGGCAACCCGCTGGTGAGGCGTAGGGGGCCTTATTCTCAAATCACAGCCGCGGCTTGCGAGTGGTAAAAACTTTCGTTACCTGCTAGGCAGGTATATACCTTGGGTAGCTAGCTCAGGCCTATGCCGGGGTCGGGGCCAAAAGCCTGTTAAGGCATTGGATGCTACACCCGAGGTGAGCAGGCAATGCAACTCACCCTGGCCTCCCACGGACGGTGAGGGCTAGATAGGCTGGCGGTTTGTTGGTTGCTAGAACCCCTGGAAAATCTGATCTCCTAATCCCGCCCGCGTCGCAGTCTAGAGCTCCAAAGTCTAGTTTGCCGACTTATAGCTGCCGCGCGTCAGCTATACCCCGTACCCAGAGCAACACCCACCACCACCTTGGGGATGCTTTCCGCCTCCCCTGCCGTAATGTTTCTCTCTCCAACCTTCCCTCCCCCTGCATCTGAGATCTTGTTGTCGCCAGAACTTTGTGCAGCAGGTGTCTGATCTGCAACGTCCCTCCGTCTCGGCTGCGGCCCGTCCCTGTCAGGCTGTGGGGTTGGCTGGCTCAATAGAGAAGGCCGGAGAGGGAGGGGGCCAGAGCGGGGGAGGCAGATGTCCACCGCAAGAGGGCCCTCGCCAAAAGCTCAGAGTGATAACACACGGTACTGACACCACAACCGCTCACGAGCGTTCCCACATGCGGCCAGGCTGGCTGGCTGCTGCTGTTGTTGGACAGGGAAACCTTGACATGCCAGATCACCAGAGCAGGCTAGCCCCCTGATTTCAAGCTCTCTCTCGGCCAGGCCCTGCAGTCAAGCCAGGGGTTCTAGGTGACCATCTCGGCCTACCGACGACGAACTCTGCCGCCGCCGCCGAAAGATTGTCACTAGCCGCTTTAGTCCGCGACGTTGGGATCCATCTGTCGAACGGACGACCAACTCCCTTTTCCTCTACCATGCTTACCCCGACGGGGAGGGCGATATCGCCAGGTCGGGCAAGTGGCGCGGGCCAAGAAGGGAAAAGAAAAGAAAAGAAAGGAAAAGACTGGAGATTCGCTAGACCGGTACCTCCCGTGCTGGCCAGACGGCGACCCATTTTCGAGCGGGCATTTCCCGAGATCATCTTATCTCGTCGGCCCGTGAGGACGACACACCGCAGCGGCTGAGGGGAGATAGCACGGGATCATATTGGTACATCCCCTCTGGAGGATGGCTTTCCGCTGAGGGCGCGTTTTGCTGCCGCAAACCTGGGAGGAGCCCGGGTCCCCAGTTTCTTACCTTGGTTGCATGAACCAATCCAGAAAGAATAACCCCTACACCTGTTGAGAGGGGAAGATCAACAGCAAAGCCCGTGATCCCCGCCCTCGCCCCCTAAAAAATGCCAAAAAAGCAAAGAAAAAAGGATTCTTCTTGCTTTTTTTCCCCTCTTCTTCTCCCTGCGAGCCCCCGTCGCGGGGGGAGGAGGAATTGATGACGGGAAATGCGGATAGGCATATATAAGTGATGTGTAATCAAACCTTCTTCTCTTTTCCTTCCTCAGCGAAGCCAAGGGCGGCCGGGCTGGCATGTTTCACAAGCACACACACCGCGCCCAGGTGAAGGTGAAGGAGAGGCGACCCGACTACCTGAGCGTATTTTCTTTTCCCTTTCTGTTCTGTGTTACCCCCTTTTCTATCTTACTCGCCGCTTCCCGGGCCCCTTGCTGTTACGCTGATGTGAGGGGATGCGACTCCGGGCCTACCCGAGACGGCCCCCGCTTGAAATGCTCAACTCTTGTCGAGAAAAAAAATATTTGCTTGAAGGAACCTAGAACCTTGCTGCCCATCCATGCTACTCTGGGTCGGTCACCTATCCCACTGTGCCACTCGCTCGTGTGACCCGCACCTTGCGACGGGAGCCGTTCCGCTCGTGTTGGTCGGTCGGTGTGTAAGGTGAGGTAGGCATCTTAGTAGGTGGGTGGCCGTCCGTGTGTTAGATCATCGTCCATAAGCGAGGCAAGAAAAAGTGAAAAACAAAAACAAAAATAAAGCACATGGGCGCTTCTTGAGTCGTATCCCCGACGCCCTACATCATCTCGGGATACAACATGGAGCAGCCATGGGCTGGCGAGCTGGTCGGGGTGCTAGGAACGAAGCAACATGGCAGATCAAGATATCGCCGCACCAAATATCGTCGCCCTCTTTTCCTACACCTGGTCCTAATGATGCGGCATATTCCTCCGTCGGTACCTGCCTACCTACCTACCTGGTTGGCATCCGTCTGTTAACGACAAGCAGCAACAACAGGAGCAGCAGGAGCAGCAGCAGCGTGTGGTGGTTGCCGGTGCGGTTGCATCATATTTCCCCCCGGCAGCCATAGCAAAACCCGCCCTTCGGGTTCGCCGCCCAGGTGGATATGCTAACACCCTCCAAGTTGGTGGTCTCTTTTTTTCTTTTTTTTTTTCTTTTTTTCTTTCCTTTTCCCTCCTCTCCTCTTTTCTCCCTCGTTTGAGCGGGCCGCTCGTTCTGACCATGTGACATTGGATGGATCCAGCCAAGGCCCTTTCGCCTCTTTTGCCCTTCCTCTTCGCTTCTTTTCTCCTTTTTTCGCTGAAGTCTCTTTGCTTTTGCATTTCTTGGACATGGTGTGTGTGTGTGTGTGTGTGTGTGTGTGTGTGTCTGTGTGTCTGTGTGCGTGTGTTGGCATGGTGGCATGCTTCTGTCTTCACTCTTCCCCACACATGTCACATCCAAGATGGAGGGTGGGCTCGCCGGCTTCAAGTCTCCATTAATCCACATCCAGCATGTGCCGCTGTCGCGAATCCGCCTGGGTGCTACCCAACACCTCCCTCCTTCCCCCTTCTCTTCCCCGGCATCCTTCCGAACGTTCTCCAGTGCTCAGCCCGCCCGCCCGCCCAGGGATACGTCGAGGAAAAAGAAAAAAAAAGACTGTGGCGAAATGGAAAGCCATGTCGGGGTGTGTGGCTTGGTTTTAGTGGATTGAATGGCCTTGGCTTTGTCACCAGATCGGCAGGTTCTGTTTCTAGCGATGCGATCCGGCTTTTGGCGCACGCCGCCGATCAGCTGGGCTAGCTCACTCCTCCCCTTCCTCCAACCACACACCAAGCCTTTCGACGATGTCATGCACTAGCATCCATTGAGTTTAGCCTCGCTGCACCTCAACTGCTTTTGGGAATCTCCCTGGCTCCTCTCCTGATAGGCCCCAGCCCTATCTCCTACTCCACCGACTCGCGTTTCCTTTTTTCCCTTGCATCTCCGGGCTTAGCGCTCACCAACCAGAGCAAAAAAAAAAAAAAGGGCACCAACTCGGTGAATCAAGCGAGCGCCTTAGCGTAGAGCCCTACATGTACATGACATCTCCGATTCGCAGGAATGGGAACCATGCAAGGGGGAAGGGGTAAATATCGGGAAGGGGTAAATATCGGGAAGGAAGGAAGAAGAAGAAGAAGAAAAAAAAAGGCAAAGAAAAAGTTGGAGACTTGGGCGTCGTGTATGCAGTGTCATACCAACCCAAGCCTCGGGGCATTGACGTCTCCCCTGACCCGCGCATGGGCTCACGAACACCGTACGTGGGGATCAAGAACCGGCAGGTTCCACACGTACCGGACATGGGAAGCAGAAAGAAATGGGGACGGAGGAGTAGGACGTTTGCGGAAACTTGTCGTGAATGATGGAGAAAGAGAGGGAGGGTGGGCTTGTTCCCATCTCCCAAGGGGTGTTGGGTTAGGCACACAAGAGCGGAAGCTGGAGCTCCATCATCAATCAGCACTGCTTCCATGCCCCCCTTGTCTCTTGGTATTTTGCCGCCCCGGAGCCCTTGCTTTGGGCTGGGCAACGAGGCACTGGGTTGTGCGAAACAGTAATTGCAGTTGCACCGGAGCATGTGCCCGTCAGGTGTTGCTCGTCCGGCCCCGGGCCATCGTTGGCTGATCTGTCACATGTGTCCTCATTTGTAGATTATCGCCTTGCGTGTCCCGTAGTCCCATCCTCAGCTCAGATATCGCATTCTGATTTTGTCCTGTCTGACACGTATACCGTATTTTCCAACATCCCACATCCTAGTCAACTTCCTCGCCATCAACCGACAGGTTGGAGTTCGAGGGCGAGTCGGGTACTTGTACATATCGAGTAGGTAAGGTAAATAGATAGGTACTCAAGTGTTCAAGTACAGACAGGTAGATGAAAACATGTCCGCTCAATGAGTGCTTTTGCAATCCAGAACTGCTTGTCGGGGTGCCGTTAGCATCCAGCCAAGGCCATGTCATACTATGCTCACTCGGTCAGGTCGGCCTGCTTGACCAACGAATAGAAAGCACCCTTCTTCGCGATTAGTTCCTGCGGCGGACCAAATTCGGCCACCTCACCCTTGTCCAGCACCACGACCCGATCACTGTCGAGAATCGTGTTGATGCGGTGCGCCACGGTGATGATGGTCTTGTGCGAGAAGAGAGGCGACCGCAGAGTCTGCTGCAGTAGCGCGTCCGTCTGCACATCCACCGCCGCTGTCGCCTCGTCCAAGACCAGGATGTTTGAGGGAGTGAGCATTGCGCGCGCCAGCGACACGAGTTGCCGCTGCCCCTGGGAAAGGTTCGAGCCTGTAGAGCATTGCACAGCATTGTTAGTTTCTGGTTTGTGCTGCCCACAACCTGTGCTACGACGTGCTATGAAACATGGCGGCTGCCACGCAACACCACTTGCTGATGCGAGGCCTATTTTGGACACACCCGACGTAGCCCGGGGCGCGCGAGGGGAGTGATAGAAGGGCAAATATGGGAAAGCGAGCTGTTGGGTCTGTGTTCTGTCCCTGGAGCTACTTGCAACTCGACACGCGTGGTCGTAGGCTCGACAGAGCTAGGGAGCTAGACACAGACGAAGCACTAGCTCAACGACGTGTCCCGTTCTGGCGTGTCACAAAGGTAGCACGCGTGCGACAGCACTAGTAGCGCATAGTGCGTGGGGAGATCATGCAGGCTCATCTGTTTATGGCAGATGAGTTGCAGCTGGAAGTTGACACCTCAGCTGGTACGACCAGCGCCGTGACCCCCGAGACTGCGCATCGTATCTGCAGCCGCGAGATGCGCGGTGCTTGCAGTCGCATGTTGGAGTCGCCGGAACAAGAAGCTGTGTAATGTCGTGTAGTGGGCAACGGTGCAAAATGTGGTCCGAGTGATGTGGTGCACGCATGTCCAACCGTTTCACCGACAAGCACCAAGATAGTGCCGATATAAAGCGTGACGATGTGCGAGAGGGTAAAGAGTAAACAGATAGGAGAAATAAAGCGTTGCGCGTGATTAACTTACCTCCTTCGTTGATCTTGGCCTCCAGACCGCCGTCCATGCTGGCAACGTGATCCTTCAGTCGTGCGTGTTCTGCGGCGGAAGCGGCTGGTCAGTGGGATGTGCTGCATGATATCAGGAAATAATATGTGGTGCATTAGTGGCCCTAGGCAAGCTACCCAGCGCGACCAATCCTCGCTGACAGCAAGGAGCTTGGAGCGATGTGGCAGGTGAAACGGAGCCCAGGACGTGCAGCGTGCATGTGTCCGAGGACAAACGAGGGAGCTCAGGGGCGGGGAACGGAAACGAAAGGGTGTGACGTCTAGCGGTGTGACAGAGCACTGCCGAGTCGAATCATGGGCAATGAAAGGCTGTCCATAATCAGGCAGACTATAAACATAACTTACCGAGCACGCTCCAGAGCTCCGTGTCGTCATGGACATGGCCGGGGTCAAGGTTGTCACGGACGGTACCCTCAAACAGAGCCGCATCCTGGGGGATGATGGCCAGCCGGCGGCGAAGATCAAGAAGCCCGATGTTTGACGTGTTCACGTCGTCGATGTCGATATTACCGCTGGCGGGTTCGATGATTCGGAAGAGCGCCAGGGTGAGCGACGACTTACCCGCGCCTGTCCGACCCACCACTCCAATCTTCTCGTGAGATTTGATGTCGAGAGTGATGTTCTTCAGCACCAGGTCCAGTCCTTCCCGGTAGCGTGTACTGTAGTTGTTGAACTCGACCGCACCCTTGGCCGGCCAGCTGATGGGTGGCCGGTTGCGCCGCACAATCTCGGGCGCCTCGCTGGGAAGCCTTGCGTACTCGAGCACCCTCTCCACCGACACGATGTTGGTCTCCACCTCGACTGACTGGCGGACAATCCAGTTGAGCGACGTCGTGATCTGTAGTCCATACGACATGGCCAGACCAACCCAGCCCGCGCTGGGCTTCATGGGGCTGTCAATGGCGCACAGGAAGACGGCAAACCCGGCAGCGGAGAAGATGACAAGAGCACCAATGAACTCGAGCCGGATGGCGAGCCATCGGTTCGCACTGATCGAAGGGAAATAAGCCCGCAGGTTTGCATCAACGCGCCACTGGCTCTCCAGCTCGAACCTCGGCTGATGTCGGTATGCGCGGATGGTTGAGATGCCACCCAGGGACTCTTGGAAGTGGGCATAGATGGGACTCCTGCTGATACTGTCAAGCCGCTTGAGTTCGCGTGACGTCCTCAGATAGTACCTCTGGATCCCGTAGTACATCAGGGCCAACGGAATGATGAGGGCAATAAAGGGCGGGACCGAGATCGAGATGACCACCAGTGTGAAGCCCGATTTGGCCAGGTTCACGAAGAGCATATTGAAGGTCCTGGCAAGCACCTCGTCGACTCGGTAAATGTCGCTAGCATGGCAGAATCCCCCGTCAGTAAAGAGGCATCTCGTGTCTGACAGACTTCAACTCATGGGTGGTTGTTACGCTCGATCAAGCAGATGCCGCAGTGGGACACCACAATGTGAGACATACCTGGAGAATCTGTTGAGAATCCTGCCCGCCGGGGTGACGTCGAAGAACGACATTGGCGATCGGAAAATGGCTGTCGCCATCCTCTCGTGCAGCTTCCTCGAGGCCTACAGAGAAAAACACCACCAGTCAGCAAAGCCAGGTTTTTTCGAACCGTGTTGCGCCCAACATGGATTCACCGGGAGGAACGGCCACGATATAACCCTGCCTTTCTTGACATACCTCGATTGAGCAGAAAATCCACTGGATCAGAGTCTGGATGAGCGTCAAAAGCGAAGAGCCGAACCCGAAGGCAAAGTAGATGCCGATGAATTTCCCAACGTTCACATTCACGCCGGATTTCTTGTTCTCGTCAGACCACTCTTTGAGCCAGACGTTGCCGCCGATACTTGCAGATTGAGCCGCGACAAGAGCCACAAGATAGACGCAAACAGCAGCGAGGTTGGCGGTTTTGGCGTACTCGAGGTAGACATCCCACTTGACCTTGCCCTGCTCAGAGTGTTCCTTGTTCTGCTTGGTCTTGGCGCCGTTGAGCTCTTCATCCGACAGTTTGCCTCGGCCCCCCCTGAAGCTTGCAGTACTCGGACGCCTCAGAGTGGCCATGCTGCCAGCCCGTGGCTTAGGAGCAGAGGATCCCGAGGGCTTGATTGCTTCGAGCGCAGGCAACCTCTCCTGAGCCTCCTCCAGCTCCTCCAGTTCCTCGTTGGTCTTGTTAGTACCGGAAGCATTGATGATCGTCGAGGTCTCGCTGTCAGAGCCGTTGGCCGAACCCGAAGTAGCCGGCGACGACGAGCCGCTCTTGCCAATCGACTTGATAAGATCGGCGACCAGGCCTTTCATCGCCACCAGCTGGCCAAAGGTGCCGTTCTCAACAACCTCGCCATCCTTCAGCATGCAGATGTAGTCGGATTCCGAGAGCACCGGGATTGAGTTGGTCGCGAGAATGCGCGTCTTGGACTTGAGAAGGCCCTCCTTTCCAAGCACATTGTCGATAATGTGCCGACCGACATGAGAGTCCACCGCAGACAGACAGTCATCAAGAAGGTACACGTCGGCTCTGGCATAAACGGCCCTGGCCAGCGCAACCCTTGCCTTTTGTCCGCCACTCAAAGAGATGCCCCGTTCGCCAACTACGGTCTCGTCGCCATCCGGCAGTTGGGCAAAGTCGTCCAGTAGAGCACAGGCCTTCACGGTCTTTTCGTAGAAGTTGGAGTCATATCGGTACCCGAATATGATGTTCTCCCTGACCGTAGCGTTCATGATCCAAGGTTGCTGCGCGACATAGGCAACCGACCCATGAAGTTCAACATGACCCTTGACCTTCCAGATATCTCCAAGAATGCTCTGTAGGAAAGACGACTTGCCAGCGCCAACCCTGCCGATGACACATGATAGCTCGCCCTTGCATGCCCGGAAGTTGATGTCCTTCAGGCAGTTCTTGCTCTCGTGGCGATTCCAGGAGAAGGTGCCATCTCGGACGACGACAGTATCTTCACCCATCTCCTCGACTGCTGGAAGAAACTGGGTCGCGTCGGGCTGGATCTCTTCCGCGGTGAGGAAATCACTCAGTCTCTTGACCGCGACAGCACCCTCAACGATCGAGGTAATGACCATGGGGAGCATTGCCAGTGGGAACGACAGCAGATTGAAGAGGGCCAGCGCCGGGAACACGATCTCGGTTGTGAGCGGCTTGTCGTTTGTCAGGACGAACACCGTAAAGGTCAAGCAGGACACCAGGAACGGCGAGGTGTTCCAAGTGAAGTTGGCAAAGGCCTGTGCAGCGCCGATCCTTCTCAGGTTCTTCAGCTCAAGGTCGTTACGGACGTAGCTAAGCTTGTTCATAAAGGCAGCACCCCAGGCGTACAGCTTGATGCTCTTCATGTTGTTGATGATCTCAGCAATCAGCCGACTCCTGGCGTCCTTGTTCTTCATCTGCGTCTTCTGGAGGTTCTTCATGAAGCGAGCAACAACTCCGTTGATCGGGATCATGATGATCATGACGGCAATACCTGCAAGCATGGACCATCCCACGAGCTGGTACAGGGAGAACATGCAGATAAAGATCTGGAACGGGGCAGACCAGATCTGCTGGCCGAACTGGGTGAGATCCTGCAGCCGCTGTGCATCGACAGCCATATAGTTGACGATGTCACCGGTCGTCTTGGTGGCGCGGCCTTCGTTGGACAGACGAAGAGATTTGCGGTAGATGGCCGACGTCAGCCCACCCTTGATCCGCAGGCCGGTGACGAACGCAAGTTGGAAGTATTGGTGAATCATGGCTGTCTGGAATGTGGCGACTCCGAACATTGCCAGCGCGATGGCAGCGCCCTGGATCACAGGCTGGGGTTCCCCGGTAGTTCCACCTTCAGATCCGTAGGAGGCAACGAAGGCGATGAGGAACCGCAACAGCTGGGGTTGCGTGAAGGCCGAGATATCGTTTCCAATCTTGAAGAGGGCAGCAACCGCATACGGCCCGCCATATGCATGGAACAGGGCGCGCCACAGCGAAGGGCCGTTCTTGCGCTTCAGCTGGGATTGCCACGCCTGGTTGAAGGCCTCACCCGTCGTTCTCGACCTGTCCGCTTTGACCAAGCCCCATAGATCGTCCTCGGTGATAAATTCCTTATACCCATACTTCATCATGGGGGTCATCCACGAGAAAGTGAGCTGGGAGAAGACAGTGGCGTACTCGGCCGGCGACTCATCCTCATCCACCAAGGCCTCATACGCGCTCTGCTGTCTCGGCCAGAGCCACTCCACCAGGAAATCCACCGCAGCTAGGCCGAAGCCGACGGTGTACACGACGAAGAATGGCAGGTCGGAGGCGTAAATCTGTTGGGATATCAGGGATCGGAACTTGACGGCAAGTGCGATGAGAAGGAAGAGCCAGTAGAGCAGCACGACGCCGTTCGCGTTTCGGAGACGGTCGTGCTCAAGCCATTGTATAGTGAATACAACGAAAAGCGACAGTATGGTGAGGGTTGTTGTCCAGACGCGAAAATCGCCAAACGCGACGTTGGTTCCGTAGCTCAAGAACTGGAATACGAGCTGAGCGATGAAGTCGGCGATTACGAGTGCGAGGACGGTCTATGCGAGTGGGCAGGATGAGGCTATTAGCATTGTCTTCTTGTGTGCCAAGAACAGGCGCCTCGGTACCGATCCCGCACCTCCAGAATTTAGTCTTGACATGAGAAAAAGTGTCACTAGCTCTGCATACCTGCTTGACCCAAAACTGCGCATCCTTGGAGACCGGATATTGTGTTTTCTTAGCCACCAGCCACCAGATAGCCAGTGGTCCAAAGACGAGCCCGAAGACGGCGACCGAGGCGACCCAGACGTCGATGAAGCAAGGTGTGAGGTCATATCGAAAGGGGCTCAAGGGGCCCCATCCCTCCACGTTCCCGCAGAGGGGGTGTTCGCGCTCTGCGCTGGCGGTGAGATATCCATGGCCAAGGCCCAACAGAGGTCGATACCCAGTGAAGGAGCCCGTCTGAGCAATCGCCTTTTGGGTGAAGTCCTCCTCGAACCTCATCGCGCCTCGTCGCGGGTGGCAGACAGGCCCGACTTAGGAGGACATGGACGGAGAAGCCAGGGCGGCGCGTCGGAGGATGGTGATCACGGATTGATGACAGGCAAGCAGCTTTCTTGCGGTTTGGGGCGCGTCGGCGGATTACTTTGACATGTACAGAGGGACAAAAAAGGGATAGAGATGGAGGCCTGCGCAAAGTATCGACAAGGGACGCTGAGAGACAGTAAACAATGCAGAAAAAGGCGACGGTCGGAAACAAAGCTTTTCGAGCGGGTGCCTGGGAAGCATCCAGAAGAGCGGCCCTTCATGTCAGCTTTGCAGTGGCCCACCCGCTAAAAAGAGCTTGCCCGCCCTAGCACCGACTTTGCCGGCGACCGACCCCACCCATGCAACGGAAGTCGGGGTTCTCTCCCACCCCGACCTGAAGCCGCTCCCAGCCTCATCCTTGGGCTGACCTGTCACGGTCTTATTCAAGGGAGACGCACGCCTTGAATCAGGAATATAGACATACACTCTGCGACCCTCATGGCATGAGAAGCGAGCGACGAAGGAAGATACCGTGAGAGGCGCGCGTGTCTATGCCATGTCGCGGTGTGCTGCATTATTAATCTAGATGGAGGCTCCTATAAACAGATGGGGACTTTATCCTTGGCAGGGCGGCGGAAAGACCGGCAGGATGCCTCCACGATGATTTTACAGCACTGTACCTCACCGATATCGGGTGGATATCACGGCGATCATGACCAATCGCAGACCAGGTATTTGCGAGACCGCGTTCATGATTCGGACGGCAAGCAGGCGGTACAGGTTCCCGCCCGAATATGCATATTCGGGCGGGAACCTGTGCTGCTTCAGACACTGGCCCCCACAAAGCTTGGGTTGCGCACATCATCATGGCGGGGTTACACTTGATGAACGAATGACGTTTCTGAGGTGCCAGCCACCTGCATAACGGCCTCTCCACCCCGTATCTGAGATACTCCGTAGACGCCCTCGGTTTTCAAGTATATTGAAAAAAAAAACATCTCTGCCCATCCCTGCAGAAACTCGCCCACATTGATGCCGTCTGCAGTCCGGGCGTCGCATACTTCCTCATTCTTACTAGTCCTGCTCCTGTTCGTCGCCTTCTTCCCGGGGGTGTTCCACTACCTGTTCTGGTCCCTCCCTCTGGCAGTAATCACCGCAGACCCGTCCCGTTTGAGCTTCACGTCATCAGCACGGGATCCCTCGTTCTCCTCCCGCAGCCGCTACGCATCCTCGCCGTCGGCCAGGATGAGCTGGTTTCAGACGCAGTTCACACTCCCCGCCAGGGCTCGCGGCTCGTATCTCATCACGGATACGGTCACCAAGGAGCTGCCCGAGATCAAAAACTACAAGGTCGGGCTGCTCCACCTCTTTGTCCAGCACACCAGCTGCGCCCTGAGCTTGAACGAGAACTGGGATGCCGACGTGCGCGAAGACATGAGCAACGCCCTCGATCGGATCGCCCCAGATGCCGGCCCCAAGGGCGAGGAGCTCTACCTGCACGGTGCAGAGGGCCCAGACGACATGCCTGTGAGTCGACCCTCCATAGATCTGCTTCTTCGACCATTTTCGTGTCCTAGCCATGACTTGCCCTGCGCCCTCGGGACTGTTTCTCAAACGCATCGCCGGTGCTGACGGGTTCTCCTGGCATCCTTTCACAGGCTCACATAAAGTCGGCACTGATCGGCGCCTCCGTCTCAATCCCAATCTCCAACGGCAAGCTAGCCACGGGAACCTGGCAAGGTATTTGGTATCTTGAGTTCAGGTAAGTTTAGATGCGCGCATATCCTCCACCGTTTGGGGGCACAGCGTCCTGACAACACATGTGATGTCATCATCCTGCCGAACATGATAATAGAGCCCACAAGCACTCGCGCAAGATTGTTGCCACGATCCAAGGCGAGAAGATGTAGATCTCTCTGATCGTACCATAGTCCGGTTCTTCAGTAGGGAAGAGGTAAACAACTATCTCTTCGTTTCGAGACTGTCTGTCAATGAAAACCTAATATTTTCGAGCATCCTCTTGTTCTTGCAGGGCTGAGCCCGTGTCCGATCTCAAACTCCAGACGCCATGATCGCCATGAAAACCTGATCATTGTGAATTCTCCATCGTGGTTGGTTATCAACCTCAAACATCCATCCACACCCCTTCAAAGAAGAGTGTGGTTGTAGTGGCCATAAAAGCACAAAAGATAGCAGGGGAATTAGAGATAACGACACGCTCCTAGTGCGTGCCGTTCTCCTGGCTCATGTCCACATCATCGCCGCCTGCCAAGATCTTGGTCTTTGGGGCGTCGACTTCCGTGGGGACACCGCCACCCGGGGTGACGGCGACGATGTTACCCTGCTCATCGACAAACTCAAAGTTGTAGCGGCTCAGCAGGTGAGGGATTGCGGAAAGCTGGGGGCCGTAGCGGGCGGAGTTATCGTAGAGCTCAAACAGTGGGACAGCCAGCAGCTTCATGTTCTTGGGGACACTAAGAACCTCTATACGCAAAGACAAGGTGTTGGTTAGTCGCGGAGTTGAAGGCGTAAATGGCATGATCAGCGACGACCATATCCGTGGAGGATGGGAAGCTAGAAGAAAAAGAGAAAAAAAAACATACTTGAGTTCGGAAGCTGGATAAAATACAGCTTCTTACACTCCTTGGGCCGGGTGACATGGGCTGGCACGAAGGGGTACATAAAGGTTTCAAAATTGGGGCGCCACCACTGGGCGAGGCAATCGCCGACCTGCCAGTCGCCGGCCTCCTCGCCCTCGCCCAGACGGCCGACGGGGGCCAGGCGCTCGTCCAGGCGGGCCTTGAAGCCCTCGACCTCGTCGTCCTCGGGGCGCAGGTAGTCTCCGGGCAGCTTGAAGAAGGCGTTGGCAATCTGCAGCATCAGGATGTGCGGGTGGTTGTGCTCGTGGCAGACGAGGATGCCCTCGCAGGTGCGGCGCATGCCGTGGGCGCTGTAGTGCTCCTCAAGGCGCTTCAGGCGCGCCAGCACCGACGGGTCCTCCTCGGGCTGCGTCTCCTTGACCCCAAACGTGTAATTGGACAGCGGGTACAGCCGGATCGTCGTGGGCTGATTGCCGTTGAAGTCGCGCGGGATCACGGGCGGCTGCCCCGACTGGAGGGCCGTGGTGGTGATGGTCGACATGTTGGGCGCTCGGCGGGGATGGGACGTGGTGGTTCGCAACCAGGCGATGTTGTTCGTTTGACGCGGTCGTCAAAAGTGGGAAACGTAGACGCGGCTGAAATGCGCGTTGTGGCGGCGGGCGGTATGGTGGATGACAGGCCATCCGCCTTAGATAAGCAGCCCAAATTTTGTCACGACAGCGACCGCGGCAAGGTGGGGTATTGAAAAAAAAATGAGGCGCTTTTACGGGGTGAAAGTTGAAAAGTCTCGTTTTCCCCCACCTTGCCCGGATACACCTCCCAAAGAGAGGCCAAACACACGAAAACAGTCAACCTGATGCATATAAATAGGTACCTAGTACATTCGGTGCCATGTGACCCTTGTTAGTCTTATCGCGTTACTTTGCATTGCTATTTAGCCCCACATGGAATTGCCGGTTTCTTGTGTGCAAAATCGATATGCCGACTGCCTGCCATTTACTTGCGCAAAATGTCGATAGTGTGAGGCGAGCTGGATACCTCTACAGATATAGTGCCCTGGTAGCCCTCGAGAGACCAGCGTATGTTTTTAGATTGTCATGCCGCCCGCGTGGTCACCCTGTTCCCCGATCATGCTGTTGCAGGGGGCGGGACGAAACCTTATCACAAGCTTCTGTCCAGAGTTGGATGTGGGCAACTAGAGACTGAGAAAGACCCAAGGCGCTTGCCTGTATTTTTGCTGCCACTCAAAGCTCTTTATTAGGAACTATGCCGTATTTAAGTGTAGGTAAATCGCGCCTGACGGAAGCTACATGTGCGAGGCTATACAGCGATTAACAAGCAGGCAGTTTATCAATTGCTGATGTTGCAGGAGCCACACGCCACATCTTAGCGGGCGAGGTGTCATGGGGCATCTGGCAATCAGTTCATTCGTCACAGGTCAGACGATCGGGAACAAAACCTGGTTCCTGCTATTGCTCTGGGAATTCTTGATGCCTGGAGTTGTGCCGTCTATCCGAGAAGCAGTTCGCAATGGCAAGGGAATATCCCGAATTTTCATGGCATCGTATTATACCTAGAATTGAGCTTGTTACATACATTCTCTTACTGGGCACTGATACCTCCATTGAACTGCTTACAGTTCTATGGAGCACCGTAGGAGGGCGGAGCTAGGCATCTAAAAGTAAGCTGACACGATAGGCATCATTTGGTATTACCTATTTTCCACACGTTAAATCATCATATCTGGTGGTTTTCACTACTCTACTAGGATAGTTGGGTGTGCGTTGGGAGGTGTAAGAATGCGAAGCAGCTGCATTTCGGTCCTCTGTATCATTTCGATGATGAGGTAGCTCAGGCAAGCCCCGGACTGCTTGGTGTTGAAGGTAGGTCCGATGGAAACTTGGGTGGTAGGTACTTGGTGGTTGAGTGTTGTCATGAAAAACTGGAGGGTGAATGTCTCGCGCGACACCCACTGACAGTGTTTTCAAATAATGATGTGCCCAAGGCGATACACTGAGCGCATATGGGGGTAAATCGGGCTAGAGGGCGGAATTGAGCATCATCTGTCATTGAATCGGTTAGTTTGTGCGGTTACTTCGCGTGCTAGACTATTGCGCACGCTAGAGTTGGCGATTGTCGCGAGACGAATGTAGATGCCTCATATAATCGGTCTAAGTTGCTCACGAATCACGCGAGCGGATTGTTCGGATCGAATCCCGTGGGCTTAGGGTACCTACTGCTTGGCGGTCCAGTGGCCGAGGACCAGGGACAAGCGCATTTCGGCGATGAGCTTGGGTTTTGCCAAGAGGTCTCCACCGACCAGCCCAAGCGTCGCGCATGCCAGACTCATCGGTTGAGGCTGATGACCAGTGAAATTTATTGGGCGGTGTGTGTGGGCAATTGTTACGGGCATGGGAGACAGTCGATGCGAGTTGCGCAGATAAACAGTTCCCCCATGTCGTCACCGAGACATCCTTCTAACCTTTACGGCCTCCATCTCTGCGGCGTGGCTTCTTTGCCTCTCAGCCGGGCAGCCACCTGGCGCGATCCGGGTGTTGACGACATGAGCGTGATGGCTGGCCCGATTCGCAAAACCTACACCATTCGAGAAGCCGTCCCTGGACGTGGCCTGCGGAGGTGGGCGATACGTGATCCGGCTGGTTTTTGAAAGATGCACAAACACCATTCGAGAGGATACACATGGGCAAACGCCGACGGGAGCTTGAGGTGTGCCGCGGCGCGTCGGATGGTGATGGCGACGGCTTGTTGAACAGGTCTCTGTGTTCCCTGGTCACTCATATCTAGCCGAGATGGGGAACATGTCGTGCAGCGGCCGCAGGGTCACTGACGGCGACTGGCAGCGATTTGGAGTACGACAGGGGACCGGGTGGCAGGCATGGCTGGGTGGACGAGCCCAGGGCTGAGGCTGCGGATTAGTTGGCTTTGGGCTGGCGGACGACCTCGCGGACGTCGCGCACCAGCGCGGACACAAGCACCGCAAGCAGCACGCTGACACAGCTCCCACCAGCACAGAGGCCGTCTTGGTGACACAAGACACGCAACCCAGGACAGGGATGGAGTCGAATAGGCTGCATTCTGCCATGTGGTACATGTTGGTCCCAACTTTCTGTGGTTCCAAGCTCGGTTCCAGGCAACGTGGGGGAGTGTGAGGAGCTTTCCGTCCCCACAGCTGCAGCGTCCCCGCCACCCTCTGGGCGAAAAGTGGGACTCGGGAAGTTGAGCCTGGGCGGCGCTTGGGGCTTGTTTGCCTTGCCTCTGTTTTTCGCTCCCGTTTGTGGTCCGCTTTCCACCCCTTTCTTTTTTCCCGACTCGACCTCAGCAGTTTTCATGGCTCCTCCCATGATCGCTGCATCTCTATCTGCCATCCAATTCCATCCCCGACCATCCGCACCATTGATCCATTTGGCGCGAGCCAGTCCTTAGGAGCTGGCTCACCCAGTTGCCGTTTTTTTCTAGTCTAAGCCTGACGCGCCCGACCTTTGGCCTGCTGGAGCCGTCTGCCGGGCCTGAATAGCCTCGCGTCCGGTCCGCTTGGACGGTTGCCAACCTGCCCGCTCGCCCTTGGGTGCCGCCCCGGTCGAATCAATCGCGACGCAAGCCTCGTCCGCACACGTCATTCTGCCACCGCAACGCATCGACGGGCATCTTATTTCAGCTCTCGGGAGCCCGTAGACGTCGCGCGCGAAATCAGAGCGACACCACGCGCCCAGCATGTCCATGTATCCCGCCCACCGGGGGACCGGTGTCCCCCCACAGGCCAATGGCCCCAGTCGCCTCAATGAGCTGCTGGACCAGGTCCGATCCGAGTTCGAGACTCAGGCGCGCCAGAGCGAAGGATATGAGCATCAGAGTAAGCGACGCGCACTTTTCCACTGCCGGCCCCATGCCAAGTCGAGCGCCCAAAAGATCGCCAACGCGTCGCGCACCACAACGACCGCTATATGCTGACACTGGGAATCGCATCTAGTCCAAAGCCAAATCGCCGAGATGCACATGATTCGCGAAAAGGTTTATCAGATGGAACAGACGCAAGTTGCGCTCAAGAACAAGTATGATTAAATTATTCTTATATGGGGGTGCAGATCCGTCCTGGGCATGCCATCTGGAGGTAGATGTGCTGACACAAACATGCAGGTACGAGGAAGAACTGGCGCACCTGCGCCGCCAGCTCGAGGCTCGTGGTGGGATGCCGCAAGGAGGCATGGGCGGCCCGTCTCAGCACGCTGGCCCTGCACAGCCTCCCAACCTTGGAGTGGGTAACAACGTGTTCGGTGCTATCATGGCTGGTCAGACTGGCCAGCCGCTGGCCCCGCCTCCTCCTCCTCCGCAGGAACAGCAACAGCCTGCGCAACACCAGATGCCGCAGCCGCCCCCCGGCCTCGCTGGTCCTCCGCCTCCTCCGCCGCCGCCGTCGCAGCAGCAGCCACCGTTCCAGCAGCAGTATCCCCAACCCCCGCCGGGTCCGGGAAACTTCCCCGCGCAGCCACCGCAGAGCACCGCTTCTCCGGGGCCCGGTAAGCGCGGCGGTATTGGCAGGCCCCCCGCTGGTGGCCCTGCGACTCCTCAGATCAACGCGCCCATGCCGTACCCTGGCCCGGGACAGTCGCCTCAGGTCCCTAGCCACCCTACCCCAGACCACTCGCGTGTTATGCAGCACCCCCCGCCCGGGCCGGCGCCTCAGGCCCCCAACTCGCTAGGCGATCTTGACGTTGAGCGTCTTCCCGCTCACTCCAAGAAGTCGCGGGACGATTGGTTTGTCATCTTCAACCCCAACGTCCCGCGCATTCTCGACGTGGATCTCCTTCACACCCTCCAGCATGAGAGCGTTGTGTGCTGTGTGCGATTCAGCGCCGACGGGAAGTATGTCGCCACCGGCTGCAATCGATCCGCTCAGATCTTTGATGTTGCGACTGGTGAGAAGATTTGCGTGCTCCAGGACGAGTCGGTGGAGAACATTGGAGACCTTTATATCCGCAGCGTTTGCTTCAGTCCCGATGGAAAGTACTTGGCCACGGGCGCCGAGGATAAGCTGATTAGGGTAAGCCGAAGTTTGAATTCCGACCTGAAATAGGCCCTTGGCCAGATGCTAACTCACACGGAACACAGGTCTGGGATATTGCGTCGAAGCAGATCCGAACCCAATTTTCGGGCCACGAGCAGGATATCTACTCTCTGGACTTTGCTCGCGATGGTCGCACCATTGCCTCGGGCAGTGGGGACCGCACTGTCAGGCTTTGGGATATTGAGACTGGCGGCAGCGTGCTGACGCTCACTATCGAGGATGGCGTTACTACCGTCGCGATTTCCCCCGACACGAAGTACGTGGCGGCCGGATCCCTGGATAAGAGTGTTCGGGTGTGGGATCTCCACTCCGGCTTCCTTGTCGAGCGTCTCGAGGGCCCTGATGGGCACAAGGATAGCGTTTACAGTGTCGCTTTCTCTCCCAACGGAAAGGACCTTGTCAGCGGCAGTCTGGACAAGACCATCAAGATGTGGGAGCTCGCCACCCCCCGTGGCATGCCGAACCAAGGCCCTAAGGGTGGTCGTTGCGTCAAGACCTTTGAAGGACATAGGGTAAGTCGAATCCTTGGCACATGGTGCATATGTTGTCAAACACTACTGCGCTCTAGATTGCTAACTAGCGGTGATTTTTGCGTGCAGGATTTCGTTCTTAGCGTTGCTTTGACGCCTGACGCCCAATGGGTCATGTCTGGCTCTAAGGACCGCGGTGTGCAATTCTGGGACCCGCGGACTGGCAGCACCCAGTTGATGCTTCAGGGCCATAAGAACTCTGTCATCTCGGTCGCGCCTAGCCCCGCGGGTGGATACTTTGCCACAGGCTCGGGCGACATGCGAGCTCGCATCTGGTCGTATAACCGCCTGGGACATGGCGCGTAGTGAATCCGCCGCTCTCTGTGCGATTGTGACAACCAGTCCTGTCAGGGTGGGGTTGGATTGGATGGCTCGAGGGACAACGTTAAGGAGAGCAAAGAAAGAAAACCCCTATAAAAAAGAACGGCTCGGCGCACGCAAGAAAGACGGCTGGACGCTGGGTAGGTCATGTTAACTTTGTGTTTTTTTCTCCTTCCATCTTTTCTGTTTCCACGTCTGTGGAGCAAACAGTGTCCTTTTACGATGTTTGCTTGATGGAATTTCTGGCGTCCGGGAAGAATGTAAGGGTAAGTCGGCCAAGGCAGTTGAAGGTTGGAGATATCTTGTTTTGCCAGCCTATGACGGCGGGCAATTACTGTTTTCCTGGTTTGCTCGATTTCTATTTCTCTTTCTCGTTTCCTTGGTCGATTGTTTTTTATCTAGTTGAATATTATGTTTCCTTGAACGTTTTATCTTTATGCCCCATGTGCTTACTGTCTGTGTGACTGTGATGTGGTGTTGGTTTTGGTGTGTGTCGGTGCCCCCGCCGATGATCTCATTCGGTCTGTTTCCTCCGATGTGAGTGACTGTCTTTTTGATGGCGTGCATGAGCGCCATGTGAGTGGCCGAGAGCGACGGGAGTGTATGGGAAAGAGGAAAGCGAAAGGGGTGTGAGTGAATAATCGACATTTCAACCTCGATTTTCCAACCTCGAGCCGCCCTGGCACCTTTCACACCCACCCGCTTAGCCACCAACCCACTCACACAACACAAGTTCTTGCGGCGAGGACGGCTGGGGCCCAAGACGGTGTCCTGCATGCTTGGGAGGCGGGTGTGCAGTATCCACGGACTGATTGCATGCAGCACAGGCGATGCGCCGCCGAATCCAGAAGCCACAGGGCCCCACACTGACACCTCGACTGCCAGCCCTGGGCGGCGGATTGGTCTCGCTTCGCCTCCACCCGCCGGGCCATCGTCCGGAAAGCTAAAGCGGCGTCCAGCTAGGTTTTCACTTGCGCTAGCTGGTTCCCCTCACCACGCACGTTTTACCTACGGTAGCACCGAACGTATCAAAAGAAAGCTTTTCCCGGAGCTGTCGAGCCGAGTCAAGCCCGTCGTCTAGGTTTGGGCGAAACAGAGCCCTTTTGCGAGCCAGAGGGCCGTCATGTGCAATTAGCCCTCGCGCATTGACCCGGCGCCCTCCCCTCCTGCTGCTGCTGCTCGTCCTACAAAGAGGCCCTCGCGCCTCCGACCGCTGCCGCCATGGACGACGCCAGCTCGCTGATCTCGGACCTGCTGGCCAAGCTCGCCGACCTCGACGACAAGGTCGCCTCGTACCGCAAGGACATGGCGGCCGAGTTCCAGCGGCACTCCGACGACCTCCTGCGCCACGTGCCCGCCAAGGTCTCAGACGAGGTGAACCGCGCCATTGCCGTCGCCTCCAGGTCGGGCCGCTATCCGGGCCTGTATCCCGGCGACCAAGACACCGCCGGCCGCTCTACCCACACCGACACCAGCGCCGCCGGCGAATCCCCGGCGTCGCCCACCATCGACCACACCCGCTGGGACGGCCACAGCCCTTCACCCCCGCCTGTGCTGCACCACACCTCGGGCACGCCGAGTGCATCCCTCGCCGGTGTCGTCAACGGCCGTGCCCTCGGCAACAACCTCAGCGAAGGGCCGGCACGAGACCCCCACGCGCGCGAGAGGGAGTTCCACGGTCTCTTTACGCCCAGCTATCTGCCCCTGCTGGAAAGCAGTGATCGGATACCGCACTCGCCACCGCAGCCGGTACTAGTGCCAGCGCCAGCGCAAGCAATAGTAGCACCACCAACCCTCTCCATGGCTGTCGCGTCTGTGGATCCGCCATCGTCCGAGGCTCTGCAAGCAGCTACAGACCCATCAACACCGCCTGCCACTACTGATATTAGTAGTACTAACAGTCCGACAATGGCCAACAGCGGCGGGATTGCCCCCAGGATCCCGCCCGTCCGGAGCTTTACCGATCCGTCAGCAGACTGCAGGTCTGGCAGTAACGGCAGAAGCCCGCTGCGCCGGAGTGCGCTGCGCAGGAGTTCTAGCTCGTCTACCCGCACCAGCCCCCGCCGGGTACGATTCGAGTTTGAAGGCGGGGAGGTCCTGCCCACATCGCCTCCCGATGAGGAGGACGACTGGCAGGACGAGACGCCAACTGCGGCTGGGACCCTCCCAGTGGTGACGACCACGGAAGCCTCGCCCACACCTGCTCCTCGTGACTCATTATCAGGACCCACCGCATCAGTCTTTGATGACGGGGACGAGGTTTCCCCGCCGCCTAAGAAAGTGTCGTCGTCGCAAGCGCTCCGTGCGCTCTCGAAATTGCCACTGGAAAATCCGGGCACGTGGACTGTGGTGAATCCCGGCTCGGACCTGGTCACTCCATTATTTCGTGGCACCCGACCAGCAGCGCAGCGGCAGGCAGCCTCGTTCCCCACCACCAACTCCGTTTTTACTAATACGGCGGCTGCCCACGTCCGCCTGCGCTCGCCGCTGGACCCCGATGATCTTGAAATCCAATCCGTGACAAATCCTCAACTGGGCTCGCCACTACAGGACCTCGAGGCTTACCCGGACGACGCCAGCGACTCAGACGACGATTTTGTGTCGATGCCTGTCAGACAAGGACGGAAAAGGTCCATCTCGCCTGAATCGCGCTCTCCGCTGCCATCATTGCTCCCGACAGGAAGTGCCGACGTGCAACCGCAGAGTCCTTCCAGCGCCCCCGCGGTGGGTAGCACCAAGGCCATGACCACGCCAGAAACCCCAGGGAAGAACGGCGTCAACGGGAAGTCTGCCGAGGCTGTAAAAAAACCCAAGCCAGGCGGCAAAATTGCCGTCGATGACACCTCGGAGGCAGACGGCGAGGATTTTTTCGAGATGGAAGATGACGACTCGAGACCCCGGACCAAGCGCGAGACTCGGCCCTACATAGAAGAAGACGAGTCGGAATCAGATGACGAGCATGTCGACACTGTGGAAGTGGCGGCACACGCAGCTGCGGTTGAAGCACAGGTGCTGTCTCATTCTTTGACGCCGAGCCGGCCGTTCACCGGCAGCGGCGTCGGCGGGGACCCTCTCGGCAGCCCGGCAACGGTGCCCGTCTCTGTAGGATCGTACAAAGGGAGGCCCATCTCCTTCGACATAATCAAGGACCCGATGGTGCACCAAAAGGCGGCCGAGCTGGGCAACCTTCCCACGTTCGTCGGTAGCGTTCACGATAGCGCAGACCCGACCAGCAGCTTCCGCGGGGGCAGCAGTCTTCCAGGCGGTGGCGGCAGTAGCGCCTTTGCGGGCACGCCGAGGAGCCTCGTGGAGAGGCTGATGTTAGAGGAGATGGTTGACCATGGCGGCGTGCCCACCCGGCGATGAGACGCTATCTAATCCTGCATTTATAGTTTTTGTTTTGTCTATTTGGATGTTGTGGCACTTGGCATATCTCTCTAGTCTATCGTTTCTGGACTCTTTGCTCTCATTCTGCGCGGCGTTGGTTTGTCTCGCAAAGGTCTCTTTTTTGCCACGTACCACTACTACCTACGCAATCTACCTGACCAGGGCATACATATAGGCACACTTGGGTACCACCTTATGTGGTCGAGTGGTGATATGGTATATCGCCCGAGGGGCGAATTACTTGCTAACACTCATAGCACAATATGTCACCGAATCCACAAGTTGGCGATTGTTGATTTCTGATTTCTATTTCTATATTTTATTGCTTGTTTTCTGACCGTTGTCCTTGGATCAGAGTCCCAGAGTGCGCCAGCCCACTCACACCTCACGTTTTGCCGGATCTGACAACTTACTGTTGCTGACGAGGATGGGGTGGGGCAGTGTTTCTTGCAGCAGCCTGGGGATGAGGCTTTGCGGCTCCAATGTGGGCGGGTCACTTGCAGCACGTTCTTGGCAGCGGACAGGCCTGGGGGGACTGGAGGTGATAGGTGATAGGTCATGTGGCCGTGGGATGGAAGCACACCTACCGGTTACTGCCGGTTTGATTCGATGAATCCAGCCCAGCGCGCCACGCACCTCATTTGCAGGCGACATGGGCTGCATCTCGAATCAATCGGGCATGCCCATTCCATGCTGGCCTAGGAGCAGTGTGAAAACGCCGGCTTGCTCGGACGAACTCTCTCAACGTTTTCCAAAAACTCATCGAGCAGTGAACCGGTAAAATCTAGACGGTTCTGGACATTGATGCCCAGAGGGCTGGCAGGCTGGGGTGTGTGCGGGCGACGTGCGTCGTGGGGTTGGCACCACGCCCGCACGGTTAGGTCAAAAATAGCGGGCGAGCGTAGTGTACCATGTGGCGCAGTGGGGGGTGATGGATGGGCTTAGGCGAGACCGAGATCTCACAATGCTGAGCCTGCAGATCAGGCCGCGATTTGGGAGGCTGTCTCTGACTGTCCTGGCCCGTCGCGCTCACGTTTTCGGTCGCGCTGGGGGGGGGGGAGGGGGTCTCGTTTGCGCAGCCCACTTTGCGGCGCGCGGCGAAGCGAGAAGTTTGTTGGTGCCGTCGGTGCCTGCCCTTGTCGACCCCTCCTCTGCTGCTGCTGTGCTTGGACTGTGGCCGCCACGCCACACCCCTGTGCCGCGACGGAGTCTGGAAAGCTGGGGCCAGCATCTAAAAGGGGAAAAACAGAAACAAAAGATGGCCTGCGGTCGGGTGGCAGTGTGCACCACCAATGCATCAATAAAACACGATCACCAGCCCTGATCGCCCTCTGGCCATCCCGAGACGGCTCTCGATCAACCAATTCTAAATTAAGCTCAAACAAGAAGATAGTGGCCTCTACATCTGGCTAGAGGCTCCCGAATCGATTTCCCCAAGTATCAGAACATAATCCTACTCCAACCGAACTCAGCCAAGCGGGATCGTTCTCGAGCCCCTCCAAAAGCCTGGCCTTTCCGCCCTCCAACGCACCACACACCACCACCAACAGACCTTCCCGACGCCGCCGACGAACCAAGTGCGCCCAACACCCACTCTTCGCCCACACGCTCGGCTCTGTCACAACCCCCGCAGAGCCTGCGCCAACGCTCAACAGTCGCAATCACGACGGCGGCCCAGGGCTCTCGGTCTCCGGATCTGAGAGATCTTTTATCCCGCACCGTCACTGCCGGCCGCGTCCTGTTTGATCACCCCTCTCGCGCCGATAAGCCAAAGCAACCCCCGCCGGTCCCTCACTACTGCGTCTATCCGACGGCCGCGGGCGTCAGAGAATTCAGAGCCAACAAGATGGACGGAAAGAGGCACCTCAACTCGTTCCAGCAGCTGGAGAAGCTGGGCGAGGGCACATATGCTACCGTAAGATCCAACAGCCCTACTAGGCCCGAGACAGAAGCCCGGGTGAGGAAGCCAGTGGATTCCGAGGTTCGCTAACTCTTATCTCGTCGCACAGGTCTTCAAAGGTCGCAATAGGCACACGGGAGAGCTGGTCGCGCTCAAAGAGATCCACCTCGACTCGGAGGAGGGCACCCCCTCGACCGCGATCCGCGAGATCTCGTTGATGAAGGAACTCAAGCACGAGAACATCGTCGCGCTGCACGACGTTATCCACACCGAGAACAAGCTGATGCTTGTGTTTGAACACATGGACGGCGACCTCAAGAAGTACATGGACACTAAGGGTGATAGGGGCGCTCTGCAACCCATGGTGATCAAGTCCTTCATGTACCAGCTGCTCAAGGGCATTGACTTTTGCCACCAAAATAGGGTCTTGCACCGCGACCTCAAGCCCCAGAACCTGCTCATTAACAACAAGGGCTCGCTCAAGCTCGGCGACTTTGGCCTGGCCCGCGCCTTTGGCATCCCCGTCAACACCTTCTCCAACGAGGTCGTCACGCTCTGGTACCGCGCCCCAGATGTCCTGCTGGGCAGCAGGACCTACAACACCAGCATCGACATCTGGTCCGCCGGCTGCATCATGGCCGAGATGTACACGGGCCGCCCACTGTTCCCCGGCACCACCAATGAGGACCAGATCGTGCGCATCTTCCGCATCATGGGCACCCCCTCGGACCGCACATGGCCGGGCTTCTCGCAGTTCCCCGAGTACAAGAAGACGTTCCACACGTACGCGACCCAGGACCTGCGCCAGATCCTGCCGCAGATCGACGCCGCCGGCATCGACCTGCTCGGCCGGATGCTGCAGTTGAGGCCCGAAATGCGCATCAGCGCCCACGATGCGCTCAAGCACCCCTGGTTCAACGACCTCATCATGCAGCAGCATCACCACCAGCAACAACAACAACAACAACAACAACAACAACAACAACAACAACAGCAGCAGCAGCAGCAGCAGCAGATGCAGCAGGCTGCCCAGGTCCAGGCCCAGCAGGCCCACGCTGCCGCGCCTGCTGGTGGCCAATACCCGCAAGCCGTGCCTTCACAGGCACAGCCTTACGACAACTACTAGGTCTATTTTTCGGGAGAGCTGCAGTGACCACTTGGACCATCGGGTGGCAGACGCACAGCGAATGCATGGGGTTCTCTGTTTATATCTACAACGATATGATCATGTTCCTTATCTCATGGTCTTGACGGCTTTCTTGTTGATTCGCTCCATCGGACCCTCGCGGCCTGGATATTTGTATTGGGGAGACACAAAAGGACCCATCAGCCTAAAGTTTTCAAAGGCTAAATGAACGAACGCAAGCCTGTTTTTTATTTCTCTTTTTTTCTCCCGTCTGGTTATATCCGTGTCTCTTTATGCTTGGTTTCTGGGTTTGGCATTGGTTTGCATTATGGTTACAATGGGCAGCGATTTTATGCCTGTTTAGCTTTTGTCATGAGGGAGACTTCCTCTTTCATAAATACCTAATAGACAGGTCGTGCGAAACTGTTGCCAGGCCCCGGGATTGTGAACACGGTGGACATGCTCTCTTCAGTGTTACCTAACCGATAGCGAGTGGCGATGAAGATGTGCAAAAGGTGGCAAAAAGAACGTACAACACCAGGCATTCGCTTGTGGTCACCCACCAAACTACTACTCCGGCCGTCAGTGGCTTATCTAGGGGAGAGCGGACGGGATCCCGAGTTTTCCACAACGTGTGGTCGTACGTGACTACTATAGTTGGGCGGCGTCATTTTGTGTGGCAAGACACGACACCATCCCAGAACGGACCGCTCGGGTACTCTTCCTAGCAGCAGACTTCCTTATAGTATGGTGTTGTGGGTGACGTGTCACAGGAATATCACATACTTCGTGGATTTCACTAACTCTCTGCAATCCTCAGATTAACGAATGGAACTCTGAGGAAATACATGCCCAATATAGATCCCACTTGAACGTTGTTTTGTTGTGGACCCCCTTAAAGAACTCGCACGCAGGAGGGGCTCGGTCGCCTTAGTCCGGGTCCGTGACCTACATGGTATATCTATCATCTATATAATCGGGCTAGAAACCGAGCTTGAGGTGGTCGAAATCCGAGACACCGACACACAGTCACCAGGGGATGTAGCTAGCTTTATGATGGGGGTAAATTCTTGCCTTAGTCCAGCAACCAGGCCCGGCAGATGGTAGCCACTGAGCGGGTGAAAGCACCATTGGAAGGGCAACAAGTGAACCTGTGCTGTCCCCTTGATTGCCGTTGGGTACCCGACCTCTGGTCTCATGCCAATCAGTCAATCAAACCTTCTTATCTCAGTGTATGTTACGGGTCCTCTGGCCGCTTTTGGGGGTCGGGTACTCAACGCTCGGTACTCAATGGGATGGTGACACTGAGGTCATTGATGGGTGCTTGGATATGTGGTACATATCACATAGTATCCGACTGCGGGTCATACATAACATTAGGAACCAACAACAACTGCCACATTCTTGGTGCTTCTAGCAGTAGTCGCCGACGTTGTCACTGCCGATGCCGGCAGGGAGAACTGCAGATTCTAGATCACTGAAAATAGACTATCAGGTCTGTTGTGTATAGAATTGTCTAGGAATACGCTTACTGTAGTAGATTTAGCTGTGGGAAATACAAACGAAGTAACAGTTTCTCCGTAGAAAAAAAGAGCCGATACTCAAATTCAGCCACGGTATTGGCTTAGTGCAAAGTCAAGGGCAACAAAATGTAAAATGGTCCATTTCGATGTTGGTCATGAACAAACGAGGCCTGGGGTTGAGTCTCCACGCTGCTGCGCGGGCCCACATGCAGACCCACCCTGCATCAGGCTGGCTTTCTCCGCGATGCGCCTGACCTTGAACAAGGCATAACATCAACGACAATCCATCCAACATCAACCTCGCGTCATCTGCATCAACGTCGTCGCCGCCTGGAATCGACCAGCCACCACTCTCACAGACGCTCTCGCTAGAATCCACCTGCAATCGAGACACGAATCGAATCGACTTGCGCGGGCTGACAACATACGAAAGTCCAGCCGAAGCGAATTGATTGCGGCCGGACGACGAACCGCGCCGACCAACGGCGAAGCCCACGATGCCCGACTCGGCCCCCCGCAAGGGTCTGGCCTCGTCGCCGGCCCTGAGCCATGCGACACCGTCCAAGAAGAACGCCAAGGCTGGCACTCCCGCCACTGCCGGCGGCGACGAGGGCACCATTAAGGTCGCCTCTAAAAAAGAGTCCAAGGCCAAGCCCGTCAACGGCGCCATCAAGCTCAAAAAACAGGCTCCTCGGCATAGTAATCCGGGAAACTGGAAGGATGGTGGTGTTATTGACTGTACGCAGCCCCTCCATTCTCGGGCTGGACACCCTCAGGGCTCTCTTGGTGGTAGCTAACCTGGGATTCATCACGTCACTTGTAGCGGAGTCCAAGAAGTCCAAGGCAAATGCTTCTAGTGTGACTGCGGCATCTCCGGGCCCAGTGGTCAACCTCCTGGACGACAGCGCGCGGGAGACGTTTGCGACGGGCTATCCCCTTGAAGACTACATGGATATCACACAGTGTAAACACTGCAAGAAGAGCATCCTTGTGACGGCCGCCAAGGCGCACATCGCCGGCTGCCTGCGGCTCAAGAAGGAGAAGGCACAGCGCAAAAAGGAGGCTCGGGAGGCCCGTGAGCGGGCAAAAGAGCAGGCCGCGCGCGAGGAGCAGGCGCGCAAGGAAGAGGAGGAGGGTGGGGCAGGCGACGACAGCAGCGACGGCGACGACGAAGACGAGAAGCCAGGCGGCGGAGCAGGGAAGACCACAAAGAAGGCAGCCAAGAAGACGGGCGGCGACGGCGACAAGACGGGCAAGAAGCGGAAGGCCGACGGCGACCCAGATGGCGGCAAGGGCGGGCCCAAGCCCAAGAAGAAGAAGGATGAGCCAAAGCCCAAGGCTGTGAAGCCAAAGGGCCCCGTCGACGTGGAGAGGCAGTGCGGTGTCATCACACCTACAGGCCAACCCTGCGCGAGGTCTCTGACGTGCAAGACCCATAGCATGGGTGCCAAGCGCGCGGTCCCGGGGCGGTCACTGCCGTACGACATGCTGCTCACGGCATACCAGAAGAAGAACCAGGCGAAGCAGCAGAGTATGTCTTCCAGACGGCCAGCCCATGTCGATTCCATGTACAGCTGGAATCAAGATGCTAACTGGATCATGTGCTTTTTACAGAAGCAGCACTCGATGCCAACGCACCTTTGGAGGACGAGGATGAGGCGAACGCAGGCCCAGTGGACTCTGATGAGGAGACGGCGCTCGTTATGACGGCACTCTCGCGGTGGAAGCCCCAACCAGTAGTGCCACAGCCCGTCTTCACGCCCATCAAGCGACAGTACCAGCTTTCACGACTCCATGAGCAGCTGCAGATGGCGACTAACGGTGGGCGGCTGAACATCTTCAAGGTCGCTGGCTTTGGAGCACAGCGGCTGCCCGACGGCCACCCAGGCCTAATGGCTGATAACGAGGACGCGCCGGGAGAGCCCGACCACGGAATGGGCATGGGTCCTGCCTCCCGGAGGTCCTCGAGCTACAGCGTGTCGATGCAATCGGCTCACCCACACCATCCCCCACAGAGGCAACCATCAGTCACCGCGGGGCGAGCATAGGACACTCGCCCCGCCCAGACGATTCCGCCCCCTTCTCCTGCAGCCGGCCAGCAACTTCGAGCAATATCGGTATCATCTGATGACAGCATCATTGAAATGCCGCCACCAAAGAAACCTCGAATTTCCTGCCCGTCGGCCTCCATCGTCCGTGAGGCTCCGCGGCCATCACCGCAACAGGCGCGTCCCTTGAAAACGCCAGGTCCTTCCCGACGTCGTTCATCAAGCTCCCTCTCATCCAACACTCGTCCCAAGTACGGGGTTCCCCCACAGAGAGACACAGGATCCCCTGATCGGCGGCCACTCAAAAGACCGCACGGGAATGGGACCGCTCCCTCCCCGCGACAGGGACCTGTCCCAGGCAGGCCTCGACCTAGACCACCGCCTTCTGTCCAATGCTCGAGGCTGCCAGGAGCGGCAGCTACAGCCACTCCTCAGCGTATGGACCGTCCTCGACCGCTACCTCAAGGATCTCACTCGGTCATCCATGACGTTGTAGCCACTCCCCGTCGGCTATCGGGAGCGTCTCAAGACCCCCGTTCGGTCGTCCGTGAGACAGGAGTCGCTCCCCGCCAGCCATCGCACGCGCCCAAGGCTATGTCTCCTGGCGAACGAGGCGAGGGGCCTGTTCCTCGGACGCCACGAACGATCAAGGCCCTACCTCCTGTGCCGCATACACCAACGGACAAGGCGACCCAAAATGGCACTCCTGAAACACCCCATATGCCACCGACAACCATACGAGAGAGCACCCCTCAGACACCAGAGCCGAGGGTCGCTCGGGCCACACCTGCAGCCCAGCACCCTTGGCCCAATCCCACCCAAACCTCAGTGCTAAGGACCCCCAAAATCAACTTGAGTCTCCCGCCGAAGCCGCCTTCCCCCGCAGCCGCAAATTCCATCGGATGTGCCTCCATGACAGGAACGGCTGAGGGGGCTCGAGATCCACATATATAATTACCGAGAAAGTGATGCATGTCTGGTCTGGATAATGCTCATGTCTCTTGTAACACGGACGGATGCGCCTCTGGCCCCATTCGAGGCGTGTCCCATGCAAAACTTTATGAATCGTTCTTATAACATGCGTTCACGCCAAGTCTTTCAGGTGCTTGTTTTTCTTTTCTGGTTCCCCTTTAAACCTACATGGTCGTCTCTTACAAATTCCCAGCCGCTTGCTGGGGCTTGCTGCAATTTATTCCTCTTTTCATTTTATCTTGGTTCGAATGCTGGGGGAACTTGGTCTTTTCTCTCTCCCGCCTCGTTGCATTGTAACACGCGTACCGACCTATTTCCCACGTGGTTTTCATCTGGAGTACAAGGCGCACTCTAGCGACTCGATTAGTCTTTGCATCCCTCTGGATCTGCATGACTTTGGACAGGCCCCCTATAAAGTTCTTTGCTTGGTTTGTTGGGGCGCAGGCCCTTGGGTGTAAACGGACTACACATGGGCAACTCTGCATACAAGTTGCCTCTTGGGCGGGCTTGGCTCTTGCTTTTTTCTTCTGGTTTTTCTAGTCCCTTGGCCATTGGTTTCTAGAACCGACCTCGGGCAACTTAGGAATGGAAGATGAACAGCCCTAATTTTTACGCTGCGGCTCGCAGTCTGAGGCTACGTGGAAGTGGTTTGAGCGCCCGATTCGACTCTGACAACCACAGTCGGGCAGTGATTTGTGCAACGCGCAGGAGCCCGACTCGGCTGTTTTTATTTTATTCCATTGTCTGTCTCTTTTGTCCACAGCCAGACGGGCATAGATGCGAACTCGGCCACGTATCCGTCTTCCCCCCTGGGCCCCGGCCTGGCCGATTGGGATGAGTTGTTTCTCCCGCTAGCGCGTTTGGACCACAGCGGGCAAGGGTTTCGGCCAACCGCCTTTTCGGAACCGGCTTGTCCCAGCGGTGCGGGCTCGGCAACATGTTGAGAGCTGCCAGGACCCCACCCGGCTCGGTTGGGTAGAGTGCCTTTCTTTGTGCAGCGGGATGACGTCAACGTTGCTGTCCAATGGGTTCCTTCGAGCTGACTGGGGCTGGACTTTCAACACCAGCCAGTCCAGTCCAGCCCAGTCAAGGGCAGGGCAGGGCAGGGCGCTTGACAGCTTGCATCGCATGCATCATGTACCGCCTCTCTCGCTGCCCGACGGTGCGTTGTTCCTATTGATAAAACTCGTGTGACCTGTAGGTTTTTCTGTCGAGACCGCCTTATTTTACCGCCTCTCTCTCTCTCCTTGTGTCTAATTCGGCATACTGTTTGGCATGACTTGAACAAAAGAGAGAGGGAGATAGAGAGAAGCAAGCACGGAGAAGGAGTGACATTCTACACCGACCCAAACCGGGTATCACAAACGCAACTCCCACCAGAAAAAAAAAAGGTCAGCCACACAGATACCAGACACATACACGCTAGCGGAGCACAAAAACATGTCGTCGGGCGGCATCCTCCCAGCCCTGGGCCACGCGGCCTCGGGCTCGCTTGGGGCCGCCATCGCGACGGCGGCGACGTACCCGCTCGACCTGATCAACACGCGGCTCAAGGTACAGCGGCAGCTCGCGGCGCGCGACGGCGGGAGCGCCGCCGGGGACGCCTACGACGGCGCGGTCGACGCGCTGCGGCGGATCCTGCGCGACGAGGGCGGGCCGTCGGCCCTGTTCGTCGGGCTGGCCTCGGACGTGGCCAAGTCGGCGGCCGACTCGTTCCTCTTCTTCCTCTTCTACTCGTGGCTGCGGTCGCACCGCCTCCTCGCCGGCGGCGGCGGCGCTCGCGGAAAGAAGAAGGGGAAAGGCCTCGGGCCCGTCGAGGAGCTGCTGGTCGGCGCCGTCGCGGGCGCCGCCGCCAGGGCCCTGACCATGCCCGTGGCCAACGCCGTCGCGCGCATGCAGACGGCCGCGCTGGCGGCGGACCGGTGGAACGCGAGGAAGGGCGTGACCGGCGAGCTGCGTGACATGTGGGGCGAGAAGGGATTCGCGGGTCTCTGGGCTGGGTACTCGGCCGCCCTTGTCTTGACCCTGAACCCTAGCATCACGTTCTGCCTGGACCAGGTCATCCGGAGCGTTGTCGCGGGCGGTGGCAAGCCTCGTGGTGGCGGTGGTGGTGGTGGCGGCAGCGGCGGAGAGGGAGGCGACTTTGGCGGGTTCGTGACCTTCCTCAGCGCGGCCGTGAGCAAGGCCGCGGCGACCGCCATCACCTACCCTTTCCAGATCGCCAAGGCGCGGCTGCAGATTTCAAACCTGATGGCGTCACCGGCCGTGCCGAGGGCGCCGTCGCCGCCCACGCCGCCGCCGCCTTTCGTCCCGCCCGTCATCATCGAGCCCACGCCACCGCCCGAGTCCGAGAGCAGGAGGGTGAGGATGGACGACATACACGCGCGGCCGGCCGACCCGGCCGACGTCAGCAGGGGGGACGGGGCGCCGGCGGCCAGGCACGATGACAGGGATGAGATGGACTCGAACCATAGCCACCTCAGCCATATCAGCCACATGACGGCCGACGACGGCGGGCTCGGGCTCGGGATCCGGAACAACGTATTTCACACCCCGATGATCGGCTCGCCGCAGGACGACGTGGTCGAGGAGGTCAAGGAGGCCGTCGTGTCGGCGGCCCAGACCGTCGGGACCGGCGTCAAGAAGATGGCGCACGACAACATCTTCACCATGCTCCTGCACATCTCCAAGAGCGAGGGCCCGGGTGCCCTGTACGACGGCCTGGCCGGCGAGCTGTTGAGGGCCTTCTTTGGCCACGGCATCACGATGCTATCCAAGGACCTGCTGCACAAGCTGGTCGTGCGATTGTATTTCGGCCTCATCGCCGCCCGGAGGACCATCGATGACAGGCGGCGACCACCTGCCGATCCGCACGCGCGGGACCAGACGCTGCTCGCCCTCGTTGATCCCCACCCGCACACGCCGTCACCGTCGTCCCACACTCGGGTTGGCAGTGTTGCCGTTAGAGGACACGGTCCTCCCGACTATTCGGGTCGCCATCCCACGAGCCAAAAAGACCGAGAGTCGGTTAGCTATCGAGGAGAAAGAAGAGGCCCCGCTTATAACAGCAGGCGAGGCAGGCCAGCTGAATATGACGACTATAACGGTCCGGTCAGTTATCGAGGTGGCCCGAGCAATCATGGTGGCCAGAGTGGCTACAATGGCCGAGGCACCTATGGCGTCCGAAGCGGCCACGGCACCCGGAGCGGACACGACAACCGGAACGGTTATGGCGCAGGAGAGTCAACCGGCTACAGAGACAGAGCCCCCGCCCGATACCTCCCCTACCGCGACGACGCCAGATCGCAACACAGCCTGCGTCCCGCCCAAGAGGAGAGCCGGGTACCTTTCGGGCTCGATAGGGAGGACACAGAATCCACAACAACAAGAGAAATCCGAAAGGCGGTGAGAGAAGTGGCCGACTACATGTTGGATAGCAGCCATCGCATGATCAAGGACAGGTCGTAGGGTCTCCGAAGCGAGGAGAGTTGGCGTTGGAGCGACTTTGTCCGATGTCAAGAACACACATGTAATGTCAAGATAGAGAGCGCTGTGGGCTTCTAGGTTTCGGGCTTTTCATCTCGCCTATAATAATAATGACCTCAAGTTTCAGCATTGAAACGCCACGCCGAGCTTCTTGACCTGGTTCACGCCGCCGGCCGAGAAGCCCGTGCCTTCGCTCCGGAGCTCGACGAGCCCCGGCGCCGTCTTGTCTTTCTTGTGCTTGTCCGACGGGCCCCTCTCGGTCACGTCGGCGTCGCACACGAAGCAGCGGACCTCGTTCGGGTCGGCCTCGGGGGCGTGCGGGTCTATCCTTCTCGTCGGCGTCATGAACTGCGCAACGCAGGACTTGCACACGACGTGGCCGCACGGCTTGGCCAGCACGGCCTTGGAGCTGTTGGACAGCGCCTTCCTGCAGGACGGACATATCCTCTGCCGTGCCGCCGCCGCAGCCCCCGACGAGGAGGAGCCGCCCTTGGCGCCTTCTGGGGGCCCGTCTTCGGTAAAGTGTATGGCCGTCAGCGAGTGCATCGACAGCGGGTGCGGGCTGCCCTCCTTGGAGCTCGGGCAGACGGGCTCCCGCTTGACGGGCTTCTTGACCTCGTGCAGCACGTTGTGCTGGTTCGACGTCGGCGTCACGGTGGGGGCCCAGAACGAGGGCAGCGTGGGTTTGGCCGCCTTTTCGCTGTCGATGGTCCGCCGCGCCTTGGCCCGGTCCTCGGCCGCGATGCGCGCCACCTCCTCCTCGTCCAGCTCGAACGCGCGCTTCTTGGAGGAGGAGGAGGAGGAGGAGGAGGCGGCGGCGGCGGCGGCGGCGCTCCCGCCACTGCTATCCGCGCCGCCGCCGTCCGTCAGCAGCAACATCTTGGGCGGTGGTGCCTGCGCCGCCGCCGCCTCTGCTGCAGCAGCGGCAGCCGACTTGCCGTCCCCCTCCTTGCCGTGATTTGTTGGCGGCGGCGGCGCCGAGACGTCGAAGCCGGCCTGGACGAGCTCGAACTCGCGGACGGCGCGGTCGTGAGCCTCCTGCTCGCCCAGGTCGCGGGCGCGGGCCTCGTCCCGCTCGGCGTCAGCGCGGGCGCGGGCGGCGCGCCTGATCTCCTTCTTCTGCGCCAGAATGTTGCTCAGGGCGCACTCGCGGCAGAAGATGTCGCCGCGCGGGCAGGCCACGGGCTCGACGGCGGCCTCGAGGCAGAGCGAGCACGAGGCGAAGGGCAGGAAGGACTCGCGCGACAGGCGGGCCGACGAGGCGCCCCAGGCGGCCTTTGCCTGCGACCGCTCGTACGACGTGAAGACGGCCCTGCTGGTGTTCCTTTTGCCTGTTGGGAGGTAGTTGTGTCAGATGCTATCTTGCAGGGTCCAAGGGTTTGGGAGGGTCCAGGCAGTGAAAGGGGTGTACGTACTGTGGGACATGTTGGGGATTCGGATGTGCCGTCGAGGAGACAGTCGTCGTGTTGGGGCAGGTTTCACAGCTGGAAAGACACTGTCAAATTTAAAGCCGTTGGCGAGGAGCTTCCGATTTAGGAGAGCTTGCGATGTGGATTAATTTGCTAGTATAACGCGTTGGGCGCGATGAAATAAATGGGGTTCAATGAAGTCACTCCTCCACCACCCAAAGCGCCAAAGCGGGGCCGCATATTATCACTTGTCACTGCAGATGCGTGACATCAGCATCAGCATCAGCATCAGCCGTGCGGTTTTTGCCCGCCAAGAAAACGACAACCTTTTATTGAGAACCCTCATGGAACATCACCGCCAGGTCACCCGCGTCGACAGCCAGACCGGTGCACCATGGCCCTGACGCCCGCCGTGCCGCCCCAGAAGCCCGGCCTGGCGTGGCGGGCCGGCTCGACCATGATCATGGGCCTGACCGGCCTCCTGTCCAAGGGTTTCCTGTACGGCCTCAACGATGTCGAGGTCATTGGCATGGACCGGTTCCTCGACCTGCTCGAGAGCAGGAGGGAGGTCGACAGGCGGCGACGGGGCCTTATTACCGGTGATTCTGCCAAATAGTTTTGCAGTTTTGTGTCGCAGATTAGGGACAGGGCGCTGACTCCCTTGCATGGGGCTGTCTTCAGTGAGCAACCATACGTCTGTGTAAGTAACCCACCGGCCGGCCCCGCGACAAAGAAACACGCTTTGCTCACCAGCCACCCAAACAGCCTCGACGACCCTCTCATCTGGGGCATCATCCCCCTCAGGTACTACTTCGACGCGGCCAGCCTGAGGTGGTCGCTCGCCGCGCACGACATCTGCTTCAAGAACGGCCTCCTCACCCGCTTCTTCCAGATGGGTCAGACCCTGCCCACCTACCGCTTCAGGCACTCGCCCCTGGGCGGGCCCTTCCAGCCCACCATGACCGACGCCGTCCGCCTCCTCTCGGACGGCCGGGCCCCGCCGGCGTTTCTACCTTCTGCGTCAGCGACGGGCCCTGCCGCCGCCGCCACCTTCCGCCCCTGGGCCCCGCCGCACGCCTGGGTGCACGTCTTTCCCGAGGGCTGCGTGCACCAGCAGGCCGAGCGCGGGATGCGCTACTTCAAGTGGGGCGTCGCCCGCCTGATGCTCGAGACCCCCGGCCTCGACGACGGCGGCCCATCGTCGTCGTCGTCGTCGACGTCCCCGCCGGGCTCCGCCGCCGCCGCCGCCGCCCCGAACATCGTGCCCATGTTCATCGACGGCACCGACCGCATCATGGCCGAGGACCGCGGCTTCCCGCGCTTCCTGCCGCGCGTCGGCCGCCGCGTCCGCGTCGTCTTTGGCGAGCCGCTCGACGCCGAGGTCGCCTTTGGCGACCTGCGCCGCCGCTGGAGGGAACTGGTGGTGGCCGCCTCGTGTTCTTCCTCTTCCTCTTCCTCTTCCTCCTCCTCGCCCCGCCTGCCCCGTCGGGACGGAGACGGCGAGACGGCGCCGGCGCTGACGGTAGACTTGGAGCACAGCGAGGAGGCCCGGGCGATCCGCATCGAGGTCGCACGGAGGCTCCGCGACGAGGTCCTGAAGCTCCGCCGCAGCCTAGGCTACCCCGACGAGGACCCAAAGTTTGCTCTCGCCGAGACCTGGGCCAGAGACGCCGGGGCTGGCTACAACCGCAAGAGCAATGTTGACGATAGTACCGTCAGCCAAAGGTGAAAACAAAGAAAAAGCTCTGCCCCGCCACGAGACTACATAGATCACATAGACACAGTGCTGAATCCATGCGGCAAAGAAGAAATTAACTCGCATTCAAGATAAATCGGGGTCGGGAAAGGGGTAGGGACAATGCTCTCGAGCCCGCCGTCAACTTGAGGCATCAGAAACACCAGTAAAATATCGCCTGCATGTCGAAATAATCCAAAACCCACCAGGAAACTCCAAAGTTCGACATAACAACGCAATGCCAAAAGGGCAAAGACAATCATAAAGTCGTTTCCGCTAATAAAATCAACTGGTGGGAATATACAAAATTCAACGTAGTTCCTGTAGCGCCCTCCTGTACGCTCAAAACACTAGAGACCACGTTGTATCCTTCTCTTGGCATGGACTCGGCAGAATATGGCTGCTTAATCTGGATGCTTTGGGTGAGCATAGCCCTTGTTCGTTCACATCTTTGAGTGAAATGCAGTCCCCTCGCTGGCTTACAGTCCATGACCAATCTATGTAGGGCCCTATGACGACCACTGGATCCCCGCCACTGTTGCCCTACTCCCAGGTCTCATGTGATGTAGACTTTTTTGAGATCGCTCCAGGGGTAGATCTCGCCAGTCCGGAGATCTTTGACGCGTTGGCGGGGCAAGCCCGACTTTTTAGCGTACTCCTCGAGCCGGGCCTTGCCGTACACCCTCGAGTTGGGCAGCATCACCAGATCGGGCTCGACGTGGCTCTTGCTGTGGTGCGCGTAGGGCACGTTGCGGGCGAGCTCGTTCAGCTCCGTCGAACAGATGGGGCACATGGAGGAACCAAGTGTTATGGCTGTCGACGACGGAGCGGCCGTGGCGGACGAGGAGGCGTCGGCGCTGGCGGGGGTGGCTGACGCGCTGTCACTGTTGCTGTTGCCTCCACTGTTGTTGGGGGCGGCAACGTCGCGCGCTTCGCTCGAGTGGCAGGCCGGCGTCTTGAGTGCCGAGAGGCCCGAGGACAGCGCGATATGCAGCAAAGGAAATGAGGGGAGTGATAGCAGGCGGTTGTGGGTCGAGGTGAAAAGATCGGCAAGCATTTCCCAGCGATCAGGGCTCCAAAGGTCACCGTACGAGTCTCCAGTGCGGTCCGGCGTGACTGCGAGCAAACCTGCGGCCTGGTTGACTTGTAGCGGGTATGTCTCCTTGAAGGGAATGAGGTACTTCCTGGCGTGTGCTATCGCCTCCAAGAACCTGGGCATCGACTGCGACCTCACCAGCTCTATATACTGCTGAAAGCGAAGCATGAACTCAAGATTGCTCTGCCATCATAACCATCCCAGGTTAGCTTTGATCAAGAAATATGCGATCTTGGGGACAAGCAGCTCACGTCAATCTTGCGCAACTCCTTCTTGTTATCTATACACCATGACAGGGCCTCGGTAACGCTCCTGTTCTTCAGGCTCTCCTGTATCTTGCTCATTTGAACAAAAGTCTCGACATCAACCAGGTCGCGCATTCCTCGCTCGTCAGCCAGGGCCGTAGCGCTATTGTTGTAGCCGTGGCGGAGAAGGTAGTCGACGAGCAGACGGTCGAGGCGGCGGCGGGACCACTGCTCGTATTTGACGTCGTCGAGCGTTTGCATCGAGGCCAGTTCGCCTAGGTGGGCGGCACGGGCGTCGAGGTGGCGGTACAGGCGGGCCTCCTCGTCGGCGCATGCCGAAAGCTTGCGTTTGATGCCACGCACTCGGGCTAACATGGAGTCGATGTTGCGGAGCACATCGTCGGGCGAGGCCCGTCCGTTGGCCGAGTTGGTGGCCGTGTCCTTCAGCAGGTTTTTGACCGCCTGTGATTCCTTCTCGACGGTGAAGTGGGCCGACCGGAAGTTTTTGCGCATCAACTCATAGGGGAGCCGGAGCAGCGGTTGGTCCTGCGTACAAGGCGGTGGCGAGCTTCGTCAGCGTTCTGTAGTGCCGGCTCGGCCGGGTTAAGTGCTCTGTTGGGTACTTGGGCCGGTGATGGTTGCCCCGCAAGAACAAAGTAGGCTAGGTCCCGCCTCTGAGCCTTACAAGAAGAAGGTGGTTCGCCTTGTCGATTTTTGTGGTTTCATGGTCCGCCATGGTGCCTTGTGTGCCCGAGAAGGTCTCACCAACGGGCTGATGTGCGGCTTTGGGTCACGGCAGAGGAAACTAGGAACGGGGACGGGAGCGCGGCCAGGAACTGGGTATCTTCGGGTCGGTCCTTGAGGGCCCGTCTGGCCGGGCTGAGAAACGAGCCGTCATACGGCACCTTGTTGGACCCGAGGGAACAGCGTGGCCGTCGAGATGGGCTTGTCGCGCCCACTCAGAGCAGGCCAATTCTCGTCACGGCGAGTCGGGTGGTTTTCAGGGCAGCGGGACTCTAGGGAGGCGTGTTCGTGTGCTCTAGGGTCGTGTCGTCGGGTATCGCAGGGCTTGGCTGGGCGGGAGGAGGTGGATGGACAGGTCTGGCAGAAGCGACGGCGTTTGCAGAAGCTCGGCAAGCGTCGCCACCCGAGCCAAGGACTCCCAGGGCCCATCGTGGTGACCTGCGATTGCAGCTGGGGGCCCAGGCTCCAATTTTGGTGGGGTCGCGGATGAGCAGCAGCCCAGGCCCGATCCTTGACAGTGGGGCCGTCTGCAGCAACCACAGCACAACACCCCCGCCGTGCTTCGTGCTTCAGACCCATGTCGCTGCACCTCGCGTTTGCTGGCTCCCACGCTCCCATTCACACACACTCCACATCGGATTCGCGCATGTGCGGCAGCTTCAATGGCTGGCGTGGGCGTGGGCGTGGGCGTGGGCGTGGGCGTGGTCGGGTCGAAACGGGCGCTTAGTTAGGTAGTTTGCGTGCAAGACAGTCGCGCGCGTGATGGCGTCCAGCCAAGCCAAAACATCACGCGTCGGGCCGAGCAATCCTTCGTCCCTTCAAGAGCTCGTAATCACATGATGCCTGCTGTCCTCTGTCACCGTTGAAGTGCTAGATGGGGTGGTGTCTAACCTTGGACATTCTAGTTTTTGGGGGGGTGTAAGACGGTCTGGATAGCAAGTTTATCTCACAAGTTCAGACTCGTCACCTGCCACCCCCTTCTTGTCAGACTGCCCTCTCCTCGGTCACGTCGAGGAGAGTGATGTGTTTCCCAACCACCACCTATCCGTACCCCCGTTCAGCTGCGTGTCATAGGCGCGAGAGGCCCCCACTCGGCTGGCGTCATATCAGCTGCGAGACATCTAATATTAGGGATACACGTATGGTTGGGTTGTGAAGGCGGTAGCTTGCCAAATAAGAACCTGGACTCAACTGAAGGGGAAAGGCAGAGGGAAAGTAAGACGAGAGACATGGCAATAGGAACGATGGGAAATAGATGATCACATAGGAAAAGAATAAGAGAGAAAAACCCATCTACAGGGCAGGCAAGTACTGCTGGAAGTCCTGTTTTTTTTTGGTCGCCCAGGTAGGTGCGTCGTCAAAGGTACGGTTCCGTCTTCCCCGCTGGCACACCAAAACACCCCCCTCGACCACACATGGACCTTGGCAGAAACGAAGAGAAAAGCTAGTTGGCGCTGCTCCGGACCCTGCCTTGGGGCGTCTGCGGTTTTATTGATCTCATTGTCTCCCCAACGGGCTAGATCGAGCACTCGGCCGCCTATCCTTTCCTCGGAGGCGCACGAGAGAGGCAGCCGGCAGGTGTTAGTGGTGTCCTCGCCAGGCAGGCAGGGCCCCTCCGTCCCCCCTCTCCAGACTTCACGCGCCCTTGCACGAGACTTTCCTGTGCCCTTCCCTCAGCCGGGATGGAGGGGAGTGGGCCTGGAAGACAGCCAAAGAGAAGGTTTGCCCGCGCCTTTCTTGCGGGCTTAGCACCACGGCTTTCTCCCCTCCCAGCGCGGGAGGGTGGCCCGTGCCCAGAGCCCAGGCATGGTGGGTACCCGCACCTGACCCAACAGGCTCCTGATTGGCCTGGCGCGAAATCCCTCCCGCCCGTATTTATTCGCCTTCCCTCGCACCCGACCTCCCTCAACACGTGCTCCCTCCCTCCATGCTCACCTGACTTCCGCTCCTCCCCAAACTACGACCAGCGAGGCGCGGGCGACGACATCTGCAGCCACAACCCTTTGCTTTCGGATCCTTGGGAGTTTCGGCTTTTACTGTCGTTTGAGATTACCCAGACTTCTGTCGTGGATTTAATCATCTTCGTTTTTTCATTTTTTCTCGGTTGCGGTGGTTGATCGTTGCCAGATTTTTGGCCGCCGACAAAGCCCAAGCTCAGACACCAACCAAGAGCCAATCCGCGCCCCGTGGTTTGCCAACCGCGCTCTCACACGCTCAAGCACATGACCGAACAAGTGAGTTGGACGGGTCCCTTCTGCATTTGGCCCTCAATGCACTCCACAAGCCGCAACCGTCAAGTCGACCGTGAGCGACACTTTTGCTCAGCCGAGATGTTGCTGCACTCGCCCGGATCGTCGTGGCGAAAGGCAAAAAAGCATAATCGAATGGCCCATTCCCTGCACCAGCCATCGACAATTGGCGCTGCCTGTAGCAGGCAGAGTCTACAGCCTCGACAACGGCCCTGAATCCATTCGTCTACACTCCCTGATTCGGTTTCTTCTACTTCTTTTCGTCACACTGCCTGCCGTCAACCACATCGTCGGCTCTCAATCACCACCGCTGTTTTCATCGGATTCGCCCTTCTCTTTGTCGTGGCTGCCTTGCTGTGGTCGTTGCGGGCGGATCTTGGCAGCCAGAAGGAAAGCAGACTGCTGTGCAACGCTGATCGGAGTGTCGCATATGCACCTCGCCTTGGCCCCTATAAAGCCTCCAACCTATTCTGGACGCAGCGCCCGCCTCACCACCTGGAGCTCAGGGCTTGTCTCGGTACCCAAGAATCAAAGCCAGTGCTTTGTTCCATGCCGTCACGTCTTGACGGAGCAGCAAATATATATGCACATGTCTATCGCCTGACTCCTGAGGAACGGCTTTGTGCCTCTGGCTCGCCAAGGCGTGACCTGGCCGGCTCCCCACACGCCTCTCTCCTCGCCTATTTGTGCAAATACCAACACTGTCATTTCACTCACTCTACTTGCCTCAACCTGTGCATACTTTGGGACCAGAGGATAGAATCGTGGCCATATTATCTTCCCCCACTTGCGGATACCGAGGTTACTAACTGGTGATGCAGTTAGTGCACATCTGACCCGTGACTGAAGCCACATCACGCGCATCTCAGCCAATCCGGCAATCGCCGTGGCCCCCTGGGAGCAATCCGGCGGTACAGCCTCCCACTCGTCATCTGTCATCGCCAAAATCACTTCGCTATGGCCGAGGTCGCAGCGTTGGAACAGCCTGGCCTGAAGGGCGAGCCAACAGCCCCGGCATCGCCAACACAGAAACGCAAGCGCGGCACCGAATCGGCCTCTCCAGAATCGCGTCGCTCCAAGCGAGGACTAGCTACCGCAAACATGCAGGTGGCCAACGGCGATCCAACCGACCAGCAGGTTTTCCTGGATGCCACCATGACGGGTGAGCACCCGGCGCCGCCTGATAACCTCACAGACGCCGACTTTTCTGCCTTGCAGCAAGCTACGGTTGACCACAACGACGTGTCGGACCCCGCCAATGCCTCTAGCACCGCAGCGGCCGCCCTTGGGTCCATGTACCCGACCCTGCATGTCCCCCAGACTACCGAGGAGACATTTGCGGCCCAAGCAGGCGTGGAGCCGGAGCATTCAGAGTCGGCGTTCGGGGTTTCGGCAGACGGCCTACCAATGGATGCGTCGACACTCGAGACTATCCAGCAGCCATCCCCGCCCAACGGGATCCGCCAGGACCTTCCTAGGTATCCCCAAGCCCAGAAGCCAGCGGTTGGCTCGGAGGAGTGGCACAAGTTGCGCAAAGACAATCACAAAGAAGGTGAGCTCAAACAGAACTCATACGATACTCTTCCCCTCTCCTTCTGACGTGGTCAGGGCTCCCAAACAAGACGCTGACTAACATGTGCTTGTCCAGTCGAGCGGCGCAGGCGAGAAACCATTAACGAGGGAATCAACGAGTTAGCCAAAATAGTACCCGGGTGTGAGAAGAACAAGGGCTCCATCCTACAGCGCTCTGTTGCCTTCATCACACAGCTCAAGGAGAACGAGACGCAGAACATTGAGAAGTGGACTCTGGAGAAGCTGCTCACGGAGCAGGCCATCGCAGAGCTGAGCCAATCAAACGACAAACTCAAGACGGAGTGCGAGAGGCTCTACAGAGAACTGGAGAGCTGGAAGCGAGTGGCTATGGCCGCCGGGCTTTCTCCTGAAGCCAAGGATGGGGGTGTGACCAGCTAGGAGTGGTGATCAGCTAGACATCCTGCCGTCAAGGAGACCGGTACACTTTTGCCCACTTGACCAGTCCGCTTTGCTCTCATTTGCATCTCATCGAACTCGACACTTTTATTTTTTGCTCTTTTATTACCTCCCTCGCGCATTGATTACCCGCGGGGGACGTTGTATGGCCATGGGTTGACACTTGAGATTTCTTTTTGGGTCTTTTTCTTTACCGGCCCCCTTCTCATCAATATGGAGTCCGCAAACTTGGCGACAGACTTTGTGAGCGCTGCTATACCAGGTTTTGGGCATTTGGTTGTTACTGGAGTCGCCACCAATGTAATTTCTATAGGGGGTCCAGGCCGGGGCAACGAGGTGCGTGGGTTTGGTACGCTGTTGCTATCATCTGTTTTGGGTTGGTAGGTTGATAGGTTGGGTGGGATTATTCCGTATTCATTACCTTTATCCATTTTCTATGCTGGTACGTCTGACGAAGCACCGACACCAACTGATAGCTATCCGTGCTGTGTGGGATCGAGTCCAGGGCGGGAGGAAGACGTTGCATGCAACGATTATGCAGAACAACGAGATCGTCCTCAGGTGGGGACCCCACGCCCTCACTCAGGCAATTCGACCGGTTTGCACATAGGTGGGTGAGTGAGTTCGCGCCCCGAGCGAACCGAGAGCTCCTCTCAGCTTCGAATCAGCCGTGCTTGACATGCCGCCGCTGCCAATACGGACATGTCCAAGACCAAGCCAAACCTAGCTCAGTCGCATGGACTTTCCCAATCAAGGTTAAGCCCACAAGCTCCCACCGCGCTACCCCAGTTTATCGGCCGCCGCTAGGCCCTCCTTGATCGGCTGGCCGGCCGATGCTCGGGGCAGCTGGAGAGCGGTTGTGAGCTTGAAAACACCTGGCTGTCGTAGCTGGCTCTTATTTGATACTGCAAAAATAAACAGGTCGGTTTTTCGACCCCCATCTTTTAGTCGCCGTTGGAGCAGACGCCTGCGTAATTCCAGCCACGACAGGCCGAAGCGCCCAACTGTTGGGACTTCCTGATCGACGGGTATCACAGCCGGTGTGACGTAAGGTATATTCGACTCGTGCCTAGTCCCCGCCTCGTCTCGCCCGCGATAAGGTTCCCCACCGGCAAACCCCGTCCGGACATGGCGTTGGCTCCTTTTCATTGTTGCCGACCACGAGACTCGGTCGTGTTAGGCTAGGCCCCTCCCATGCCACCTTGTCCACCTCGCAATCCCGCCACGTAAAATCTCCGGACTGAACCTCCCCAGGGCCCCCC